TCCCTGACCTCTAGCTTCGCTCTCCTGGCTCACCCTAAGCTGCCTGCTGCTGGCATGCAAATTGCATAAAATATTGCCATATAAAAAGCATATTCGTGTTCACTGAATATGCAATTGACTGACGCTGGGAGTTGGCTTAGAAGGAAAACTTCTTTTTCGCCTTACGAAAAATAGCTGCCAAAGTGGCCTGGCATATTTCAGATTTATATGGCAGCCACTTTTGGGGAGTGCCAGGGAAAATGCAATAAAACATATATAATTCCACACAGGAATAAAGGGAACGTAAGGTAGACGAATAATATTATATGGTTTTGCAAAGGCTTATCAATGGTTTGAGAAATGCATTGTCAGTGGAAAATATAAATCTGAATTCTAGTTTTTTTTATTAAAATACACAGCTTTAGGGAATTTAATATTCTTTATCATAATGAACGAGCTATTATTTAGTATGAAAAGCAATTTTTTATATTTCTTTTGTCTTCAATTATCAAATTATGTTAATAAAGCAGCAAAACAGTTATTAATATCCCAACAAGTTATGCTTTTTGATGAACAATTCATTTTGTTTAGTCGTTTGTTTTTGTGTCGTAAAATAAGATTAAATAAATTTCCATAAAACCATGAGACTGCCATTGTTACTTTTCCCCCAACATGAGAGATAATCTTTCCTCGGAGAGACATTTTCACTTGAAACTTGGGCACACTCCACGCTCATTTTCATTGGACGCATCTTTTCACCTTCGGTTTCTGGTTTTCCGCGCGACTAATTGTCGGATGGCCATAAAAGCGAGCCTGGCCTGGTCGCAATGTAATTAACGTTTCTTTGCTCGAAATTTCCTGCTACGATTTCCTCGCGGGTTGCAATTTCCCGCCGCTTCCCACTCCCATTTCCACCAGCCGTTGGTCATTAGCCGAGGCTGGAATCGGAACCCATTTCTCTCTCCCCTGCTACCTGGTTTTGGGACGTGCCCGACCAACTTTTCATGCACTTTGCCTGCTGTTAGCCGCTTCTGCTGCTTCTGTTGATTTTCTACAGTTTTTCCGCTCCGCGGGCAATGTGAAATTTTTCGCCGTAAACGTGACCATTGCCATCGTCGCTGTGTGTTATATTGTTGTGTTGTGTGTGCCGCTTAATTAAATCGCCTAAGCACCTTGACCGATTTCGCATTCGGCGACCATCCGTCAGATACAACTGCGATACCGAACTACAAGATACATTTGTGCAAATCACCGAAAAACATGTTTCGGTCTCACTTACTGGGTCACACATTTGGTCAGCAGGAGCCGCTAAGTTGCCTTAAGCCTGATTTATTCCTGTTTCGGGTTGTGCCTCAAGCGGATTTTATGGTTAGAATGAAATTGAATGGATTTCTACCTCAGGCGTTATACCAGAAAATGCTAGAAGTTTGAATTGGGAGCTCGGCACTTGGATTAAATTGTAATTAAATGGCATGACAAATGGCCGACTATAATTAATAAATACAAGTAGCTATTAAATTTGAAACTGAATTATAGCCACTATAAATTAAAGTCAAGTTGGAGCAGTAAATATTTTTGAAATATGACTTTAATAGTTATTATTTTGATTAAGGTGTTCTTTACTTTGTAAATCTCATTTTTACAAAACAAAGTTTTTGTTAATTTAAATGAATTCCAAAAAATATGACCACCAATTGATGATTGTCTAGTGAAACATAAATAAACCATTTCTGATGTTAACTCACTTCCTTTAATATCTTTGCCCCAACATCCTCTTGATTTATTTAATAAATAAACAAGACTTCCTCTTCACTTATCAATTATTGTTGCTAAAGATTGAATAACCAACAAGTTCTGCTTTGAATTATTGGTTATTATGTTCAACTGAGCAAGCATCGAAGATTTTAGCAAGTGTGCAAATTCAATTTCCTACAGCAAAGTACCACTCACTTTGAATGCGTAGTCTTATTTGCATTACTCAACTAATTCTGGATGTGCTTCTGGAACAACAAATGCAGCTAAAGCTGTTCTCGAGACCAAAGACCATTGCCAAAGCAGTTGCCTCCTATTAAGTCTGTGCCTTTCAGAGCCAACCTTATCTCTTGACAAGGCACTTGCTTTGTAATTGCACGGAATGAAATGACAGCAACCTGCAGGCTAAGTGGGCGAGAATCTTGAATCTTGAGAATCTCGATCCGTAGCAAAGTTAGTTTTAGTTTCTGTACCGTTTCAAGGCCCGTTGCAATTAATGGGCCTGCAACTCTATTGCCCCGATACTTGGGACTTACAGTTTATGCTCATCACAACATCTAATTGGCTTGGGACCCCGTAAGAGCTGACAGATGCACGCCAGTTAACAGTATTTAATGTGTTTGACGACTCGCATCTGACAGATACATTTCGGCTTCTTGTTTATGTGTGGATTTTTGCATGGTGGGCTGACTTTTGCATTAAAGAACAGGTCTCATTGGTGCTACATGTACTCTTTGAGGTCGAGTTTGTGGGATTTAGGTTTGAAGTTGATAATATATACGAGTTAGCTATTCTTGTAATAATTTTTAAATATTTATCTAAAGTCAAAGTACAGGGTTTTCCCCATTTCTAACCATTCTCTACTTTGTTTTATAGAATATTCTCACAGTGCAATGTTTCTGCCAAGTGTATTCCCCACTTCGACTTGCTAAAATATGTATTTAATTTCTTGTTTTGACTTGAATTTATTTGCTCTGCTCTCTAGCGTTTCGAGGTGTCTCTGGAGTGCCGTGAACTCAATTATTTTTGCAATTACTTTTTATGATTCTACAGTTTACAGTTGCTCCACCTCCAGAGGCCTTCCAGCTCGATTGGATGGGATTGGATTGGGGCAGAGTAGAGTGGGGAGTAGAGTCGAGTGTCGCACACTGAGCGGAGTTTGGCCCTGTCATCGAGGGTGTTTGTTCTGTGGAGGCGATGAATCAAGCTGGCCCCAATTGAAATGTCAGCACTCGAGTCGAAGCGTTTAAAGCTGCAACTTGAACGTTAGAAGCTGACATAATCGCTGGCACCACTCCGCTCCTCTGGAAGATCGAGAAGCTCCTCTCCACTCGGAAGTGGGTCAGTGGCTGGCATTTAGCCATGGAGCTTGGTGTGTAGCTGTATCCATCAGAGACACGTATCGGGGAGCGTCATCTGCGCGACCAAACTTGGCCATTTGTGGGTTTGTTTTGCTAGTACTCGCACTTGGTAGCTGTACCTATTGTGGCCAAAACCGGTTTCGGTTAAGAAGAGCTTTAAGTAAACGGCCAAAGTGGAGTTTAAGCCCCGCTTTTATGGCCACTGTCCGTCGCGGTTCCTGGCACTCTGCCCTCGGGGAAACCAGTTTTTATTTCTTTTCCATTGCACTAAATACTCTTCTCGGTCACGCTTAGCTAGAACATCTCCACCTCTCCTGCATGTCGAACTCCTCCTCCACTTGGCCGTGTTACAATTGTTACAATCTTATGCAAATCGTAGACGCTTTTACCCCAAGACTAATGTCGATTTCGTGGCTTTACGTTGACTTCCGCTCGGCTTGTTTATGGGCCACAATTTGTTGACTTATTTATTTGAAATCTGGCAGAAGTTGCACAACGTTTTTCCCAGCAAGAAGTCGCTTAAGTGCAGACACTACACCGCGGAGTCGTGCCACAGTTGGCTGCCCCTCTCCAACCCCTTCATTTGCAGAGAGAAAAATGATTGAAATTGATTGAAATAATTAATTTATTTTATATATTTTTTTGAAGATTATTTGTAATATTGCTGAACATTTTTTAATGATTTATTTAAGCCTAAGATAGTTTTATTTATAATCAAATTTAACTGATTCTTGCCTCATTATTGTCTTCTTTTTCGTTTGCTTACATTTCTCTCTGTGTGCCTAATTTACATTGCCAACTCTTCGGGCCAACTGGCTCAGTGACTCGACTTAACTTGGCTTGAACCGCCTGCCTGCCTGACTGACTGACTGACTGACTGCCTGCCTGAATGGCTGGCTAACTGACTGAATGACTAACCGAGTGGCTGAGCGATTGCAGCCTGTCTCGCAGCACAGCAAATGTTGCACGACTCTCGCTGCCGTTTCTGTTTTTATTTTCCGTTTCGGTTTCTGTGGACTTGTGCTGTTGCTTTCGATGTGGTTGCTGTTGTCGCGCCTTCGCCTCAATTCGGAGGTCTGGTGGTGCGGTCTGGTCTGGTCTTGGCAGTCAGGTCTGGTCCCGGGCTGGAGTGGTGTTTCGGCGTGTCTCTCGCGCCTCGCCAGTCAGTCGGTGGTGGAACGCAGACCCAGTCCCAAGTCTCTCGAGTCGCAACTTAAAACTGCAGGTCGTCGCGCGCGCTGCATTCATAATTGGATTTGCCGTATATTTTGCGTCGTTTCATATTCCATATCGATCTCTGTGATCCAGAATAATAATAATAGAAATGGAGAGTGCCCTGCCGGTGGCCGAGTTCCAGCAGATAAAGCTGCGTCCGGTGCCAAAGGTCAAGCGCCGCGCCCCCCAGCCGCCTGTGAGCCTCCGTCTGAAACAGAAAAATGTGCGAAAAATACCATTAAGTATCTCAAAGTATCTCTAGTTTTAGCCATTACTCAAAAGACCCCTGAACTTAAGTCTCTTGAAATAAGCACTGAACTTTCGCTCTCTGCAAAAAGTCAAGTTAAAAAGGGAGCAAGTGAAAAGTGAAAACAATGGCTTTTACCTGAAGGAAAAGGAGAGCAAAGCGTGGGAAGATTGCCCTGCGATTTGGCAGCAATCTTAACTGATCCTAGCATGGCATTTTCTTTGGGAAAAGTTAGAGCTTAAAGCTAGATTTATATGGAATTAATTGGGGTGAATTAAAATCTGGAAATGGAATATAATTAAACTTGAAATTTGGCTTAATTAGAATATTAAAAAGTGTTTTCTGAACTCTAGAATTAACTATGAATATGAAAATTAATTAATTTTTATACAATTTAATTTATTTATAATTTATATTCTTATTAATTATTTAATTATCCTTTTCAGACTTCAGCCACCACAAAGACAACAACGCTCACCACTCCGGCCAAGCTATATGGCAAGGATCTGAGTGAGTACGATGATGTGGATGTGGAGAGCCTGCTGGCCCAGCTCTCGCCCGAGGAGATAACCATACTGGCCAAAGAAGTGGATCCCGATGTAAGTTCTCCCTTTTTCTATATTATATTTCAAAGGCTTCAACTTATTCCTTTTTTCCCTTACTTTTCAAGGACAACTTCCTGCCGCCAGATCAGCGCTGCGGTTACGAGTGCACCAAGGAAGCCACCGGGCCGCTGAACCGCAAACAGCTAATCGAGCACATCAACAAGCAGGCTATCGAGACCCCGGATGAGCCGGAATTCGAGCCTTTTGTGCAGGGTAAGGTGCGCGGCAAGAAATGGGTGCCACCGCCAAGGGATGCCCGCGAGATTGAGGCCGAGGAACAGATCGCCATCGATATGGGCGAGGAGTATGAGCATGCCTTGAACGATGCCACGCAGGAGGAGATTATCGATTTGGCTGCCATTCTGGGCTTCCACTCGATGATGAACCAGGACCAGTACCACGCCTCCTTGCTCAACAAGGGCCAGCCGGTGGGCCTGGGCTGGGATGGCATCACAAAGTCCACCCAGCAGAAACTCTTCCCCATGGATCCGCCCAACAGCACAGATGTGGAGGAGTCCATCAAGCGGGTCAAGGACGATGACTCCAAGCTGATTGACCTCAACTTGAACAACATTAAGGTTAATACTGGGATTTATAGATTTTCATAAATATATTTTAAAATGTTTTCTTTTGCCGCTTAGAACATCTCGGACGAGAAGCTCGAACAACTGTTTGCCGCACTGCCTCAGAACGAACATCTGGAAGTCCTCTCGCTGACAAATGTCGGCCTCACCGACAAGACAGCCCTCCTGCTGGCCGAGGCCATTGAGAAGAGCAAAACCCTGAGAGTATTAAATGTTGAGACCAACTTTATCAGTCCGCCCGTGATCGTCAAGCTGGTGCAAGCCCTGCTCAAGTGCCACACCATTGAGGAGTTCAGGGCCTCCAATCAGGTGAGTGAACTGCAGTCTTGACTTGTGAATTAATATTTTAATATTAACCTCCTTTCCCCAGCGATCTGCGGTGCTGGGCAACAAGATCGAGATGGAGATCACCGACTTGGTGGAGAAGAACTCGTCGCTGCTGCGCCTCGGCTTGCACCTGGAGTTCAACGATGCCCGCCACCGAGTGGCCGCGCATTTGCAGCGCAACATCGACAGAAGTAAGTTGACCTTTCAGGATTTGCCAGCATCCTCAGCAGCGGTGATCAGCAGCGTGGGTTTTGCGTCGTTCCACTCCTCCTTTACCTTTTACCCGTTAGGCTTAGGTATTCTTCTTATTGACCGAGTGTTGCCTCACCCACGCGTTTAGGTGAATTGCAACAAGGTATGTCGAGCGTCATCACCACCACCACCACCACCACTGCTTGCATATCGTCACAGCTAGCATCATCATCTCATGCTTCAACTTCTTCCGGGGCAGCCAAGGAGCTATCACCCTCGCGGGTGAGAAGCCTGGCTGCCTTCGAGAAGTTCATCAAGGCGCGCACTTGGAGCCAACCGGCCGATACAGTTACTCATGACTTGCCACCTGCAGGGCGCCTTGTGCGCAATCTCCAGGCCTCCTCCGAAGCTGGAACTGGAGCTGGAGCTGAGAAGAAGATCTGAATGCGAGCCCCGTGTTGGGTAACCAAGCTCCTCGTCGTTGTCTCTCCCTGTATCCCCCTCTTCTCTCACTATTCTCTGTATCTATCTTGTGTCTGGTAACCAGGTAATCCGTTCTTCGCCTCCATCTGCCTCTCATCATCGCTCCAGATTTGTCCAGTTCAGTCTTAACCCCATCGTGCTCCATTCTCACCTCGTCTCACCAGCCTACGTTGCGTTCTCGTTATCGTTCACCAGTTTCACGTTTCGTTATCGTTCGTTCTCACCTGTCGTTATCGTACCTGGTTGGGCATATCATAAGATGTATTTTAGACAGGATTAAGGTGGTTATTTTAGAAAAGAATACATTATAATTTACATGCATTTTATATATTGTAAGTGGGTTCAGTTCTACGTATATCATTCTTCCATGTCCACGTCAAAGCTAACCCATGCGTTACCCCCCTTGGAATAGAGCCAGGATCTCGCTCTAGGAGAGATCCCGCTGTGTTATATTCTGTGCCTTCCCTGCGTTCTCTTTCTCTCTCTTGTCTCTTGTAATTATCATAGTGACTCCAAGCCTAAGAAAAGCAGAACATTAACCAATTATCCACTTGTTTGTGTTGTAAATTTTGCAACAAAACTCAACTCTCGAACTCAAAAAAAAAACACACCGACAACAGTCTTCCGCGTTCAGAAACTCAAGCCCAATCTCCCGAAGCTAATCCTGCCCGGCAACATGGAGATTGAGCGGGATCTGGTGGCCTATCACCGATCGACCACGCCCTCTCCATCACCATCGCCGCAGCCGCCGGCGGACTATGAAGTGGAAGAGGATCCCGATAATATGGTTATCCGTGGCGGCGGCGAGGCCTTCGATCCGGAATTCGACCCGGACAACATGGTGGTGCCGGGCAGTCGCTCCGTGACACCAAACTACGACGATGAGGGGGTCTACCAAGCGCACACGTGAGTGAGAAGAGTGCCACACGACCACCAACACCACCACCACCGGAGCCACAGAATGCCACTCTGAACCACTCTGAGCCACAGCAAACCACAAGTTCGAGCCATGTACAGACAGTCACCACTCTCGCCTTTCCCCTTTCCGTCTCATTGGTTGCATAACCTCGATGTTGTCGTTGTTGATGTTGCCCGAACACCCCGTGGACTCTGGATGATGCCATAGTCCCACGATCTTGCAGACCAAGAATTTGTACATACCCCAACATGAAAAAGGAGATCAAAAGCCACAAGAATATCAATTTCAGATGATTACTTTTCATAGGAAAACTAAAACTATAATCAAAAGTATCTTTTATCAAGTCAGAATATCAGCTTTAAAGTTGCACTTGATTTTGCTATGAAAAGTAACCTAAATGGTGATAGATCTTGGCCATATCTTTTCTCATTTGTGCAAAAACCGGAAACAGATTCCCAGCACAAAAAAAAAACCTCCTTGTTATTATCTGTTTTCCATGTCGTCGTTGTCAGCTGCTTTTTGCCATTTGAAATCGAACCTTGTATATAATATATCCTCAAGATCCTATATCATTCAGATCAGATGCGTGCTATTAACCCACACACACGCACACCACACGCCATACACACACTCATGGCAGCACTCTCTGTGTTTTGTATCTTTGTATCTTTCTATCTCAACACGAAAAGCCCTCTCCAAAAAGAAAAGACATCAGCCAAACGATTCAGCAAATCAGTTTTTCCAACAGTCATTATAATTTATATTTCCTTTTGTGTCCTGTCTATATCACCTTTTGTTCTCTTTCTCTTCCCCTTCTTTCTCTGTTTCTCGTCTCGTTTTCAGTAAGAAAAGATCTTGAGTTGCGACTGCAGTTCAGATTTTTCAATAATCTGCATAGAAAGTCGACAAGAATTCAATAAGCGCAGACCAGAAAAGCAAGCAACTAAACCATTTTTAAAAGCGTTTTGTAATCTAAAACCCAAGAAACCGAAGAAAAACATAAGCACATAACAACGAAAGAACGTGTATAATATAATATGTCTATATGAAAGGAAGAAGGAAGCAGGAGCACAAGTTTAAGCTAAAGATAATAACGCAGCCACCGAGCTAGCCACATAACTATCTATATACTCTAGAGAGACTTAACTAAGCAAGAAGCAAACTGAAACCCAAACAGAAACGAAGTGAAAATATCTAACTAAATATACATATACCAAAACATATCGATACAACAAATAAAACATATCGATAAAGCGCAGATCGAACACCCTCACGAATACACGAATAAAGTGTAGAGTGAGTGGTGTTCTATATAATCCAGCAGAAATCGTTTTTAGGCGTGTCACGTGTATAATTATATCTAACGCTTAACACAGGTATCTATAAATTCTACGGATATTCTCCCCTTCAGTTCTTCTTCTTCAACTTTTGCTAACTTGCAAGAATTTTGCCAGCAAAAAAATAAAAAATAACCAAGTTTCCCAACTAGTAACTACTTAGCACTCTGCTATATATATGGCTTCGATATATATAGAGATTATAATGAGCTTCCGCCGATGCGATTAGAGTTTAGAGCCTTCAAAGTGCATTTGGCTGATTGTTTGCATAAATCGATATGCATATATCGAAAATATCGATCACACTGACTGTAAACTAAACAAAGATCTTTTCCATGCCCTTGCAAAATCTTTAAGAAATACTATGACAATTTTTAAAAGAATAATTGTACAGTTACAAGTTTTACTACATACTACATTTTTAAAAAGATATCTTAAAATATACTTTAAAACTAAAATGAATCGTTTTTTAGATGACTTAAAATTCACAACAACTTCTGTGAGCTAATAAATTAATAGGAAAATTCAGCCTAATATCTTTAAGTATTTAAGAATAATTTTAACAATTTGAATTTATAAATTGTTTTTTATTTGCAAGGGTATTCTTAATAGTTTCGGTTTTTTCGAAGCTAAATTTCCTTCTTATGTTATTTACTTACCCCACTGATCAGCCCCATAAACACTCAAAGCACCCAGCATCCAAAATTGCCGTTTATGTTGTGCCTCATTAAGTAATTTTATTTATTTTGTTTTTATTGTTTAAGTTTAACCATTCATATTGCACGTTTTTGCTTTTATTTACACCCTTTTGGCATGTTTCCATCGAAAACAACAAACCATTTGCATGTTTTGTGTAATTCAGATCAGAACACGATCCACAACACACACCTCAGACACACACACACCTGTGCCGGAGTGAGCATATCCAGCGGCTCTAATAAAGTTCTCTTCGTGTATAGGAATTAAACTGCGATGTATGATCTAAGAGAGTCCTACCCCCCCAGAACCGAGTGTTGAAAGTAGAACGAAAGTAGCAGAAAACCGTCATAACAAGCATAGATTTTATGATTCAATAAGACCAACCACCAACTAATAACAGCAGCAGCACCACCACCTACAAGAAGAGCCATGAGATCTACACAAAAAATCTATAAATGAAAACAAAAGATACCCATTTCGAACCAGAAAAATGTGTAGCGCAGATGAACAACCAGTTGGTACCCCTCTTCTGTCTCTAAGTACTTGTTGTTTGGATCTGCCGCTGTGAAAAAAATAAAGAAAATTGCACCAACTAACCCCGATTAATACCTCTTCCCAAAAAAGCTTCCAGCTAACTGAAAGTTAAACCCAAGTAAAACCCAGAAACTGGGAGGATCTTGAATTGAATGTTGTACCCTGTGCTACTGTTGATTGATTATTGACTTGACTTGACTTTTAACTAACCCCAAAAAACTAAAGTTGTTGAATCCCTTTTTCAATATATCACACTCTTTGTTGCCACCACTTGACTAATGCCAAATGTTTTATTGTTTCTCTTTTCTTCCGAACAAAAACCCACCTTGATCCTTGCTCTCTGTGTGTCGTCTCCAGTACGTGTGAAACGCCTGAACCAGCGTAAATAAAAAAGACAAACAAATAATAAAAAAAAAGCGAAATATAGCAGCAACCAACCAACAACAACAACATGCCACCACCCCAAGAACAACAACAATCAAGCAGAAAGAAAGCCATCAATAAATGTGTGTGCGTGTGCGTTAATTTGCTTGTTTGTTTGTACAAAAACTCTCGATTAATTAAATGAATTAACAAGTAAACCCAGCAAAAGAAAAACCAACAGCCAGAAACCACAACACCACCACGAACAGCACCAAGAACATCTATATAGCAGCAGCAACAACAACAGATATATGTCTAATATCCCCAAAAACTGAAAACAACCTATGTTTCTTACCCAAACCAATCCAACAATCCACCAAAAAAACAACCAGCTGTGAACTAACACCGAAGAATGACATGTGTGAGACATGAAGTACGTAAAGTATATGTTTAATTCTTGCTAAATAATAAGCAAATAAATTAAGTTAATTCATAAGGGGTGATGTATGATGCTGATGCGTCAATGTTATGAATTTCACAATTTAAGGTAAAGTGAGCGGGGAGTTATGTAAGAATATATTTCATTTGGTAGATTTTAAACACTTTTATCAGGTTTTATTTAAGACTATTTAATTTAAAGTTTAGTTGTAAAAAAACAAACTTTATTATATATTTCTTTGGGGTATAATTAAGGGATTTTAAACTTATTTATGAGAGATCGGTATACAAACTTTGATTTGCGGAAGTTTATGTTCATTTAAATCAATTTAAAAAATTCTTAAAAATAATTTGGATATTTGCTAATGTGTAAAATCTCAGCTTACTTAATTTTTTAAAATTACATTATACGATTTTGTGCAATTATATAACACCAACCTCAATTGTCTTGCATTATTGTTATCATAATTTAATCAATCACCTTTAAGCCATTATTGAATATCGCCAGATATGCATTCAAGCATTTTAAGTTAGCACCTAAGATTCCTTGGTGACCCCGTCAGCAGATGAGTGTCAATTTTAGCGCTGCTCTTGCCAAGATTGGCCGAAAATAGATCCTAACTGGGGGGATAAATATTTAAGCAATGGGAAATCTGGTTAGCGACTCGGTCTAGCTGTTAGCTACCAGCTCTTAGGTTAGTCTTAAGTCAATAAACAGCAGCGGCAGCGACGTCTCTGTGCGGACACTGCCAAGTGTGTTCAACTTGTTGTGCGTCATGCCACGTCTTGGGATATAGTTTGCTTCACTGTTTGGTGTTTTCCCTTGGCAAAAGTTTAATTTGTATTTGGAATATCCTACTAATCCTGTTTCTTGTGTATATTTTACAGTTGGACGTCAGCGTCGCATGGGACATCTGAGCAGGAATTACACCATTGGCGTCTGGCAATAGTAGGATTCATTGTTGGAGTCCCCAAAATAATCTATCCCCAAAAAACTACAAGAAACAATAATTGTTCATACTGTTTTCGTTCAGTGTTTGTTGCGTTCTTCAGATTGCTGATGATTTTCGATTTGAGTTTTGTGTTCGGTTCACACCATATAAGCATATAATCATTTGTTTGTTACGAGTTTAGGCGAATGTTCATTGTCATACACACACGCACACACCCACACACACACGCGCGACTTTCTTCTACGATATATGTATGTGTTTCGGCAGCTAAAGTAATTCTTTCCTTAAGCAAATTCTTCACATTTACGCTGCAGCTTCACGCCCTCTGCGCTCATAATTTTTATATTTATCTTTTATTTTATTTTAAATCGATTCTGAATTCTGTCCTTTGTTTTTATCCCCTGGATGGGGTAATGTTTCACACACAACTTTTAGTTTTAGTCGTGTTTTAATGCACAGGATACATGATACACACACCACATACACATAATACTTATATACACACACTATATATATATGATACATATATAGCCATGGTCTCTGAAACAATTTACTGCTACTATTGAATTATGAAGAAATGCTTAAACATAAATTTAACTTATGGTTAAACATACACACAACATAAAAAACTGAGAAACAAACGATTGTATAATGTAAAATGATATATATCTTACTTTATATATATACATATATGACATAATGCAATGCTTTTAAAATACAATTTTTAAAAATCATGTAAAAACATTTAAAATTAAATAAAACAAAAAAAAAAAATACAAAAACTACAAAAAATATTTAACAGTTTATGCGTTGATTTATTGGAGGAAGGACATTTTTTAAACTATGGAGTACGTGGGGTTACTTAAGAAAGGGAAGTCTGAATCATTTAAATTATTAATTAATAATTTAATAATTATAACAGATAGGTAAAATTACGAATGGAATGACTCTTAAGTTTGACGTCAAAGAGACAGCCAGCCACTTATGGACTGACGTCCTTTCCCGAGAAGTAGTGAATCTCCGTTACTTCTTAATATTTTTTATTATTAAGCACCTATTTCTGGATATCTCACAAGAAGAATTCTTAAATACGTAGCTGTTTCTCATCATCTTCAATGCCCTAAATCAGTATCCTTTAGGAAAAATCTTAAACTCTAACTAAATCTAATTTAATTTTTATCATTTTCGACTTTGATCCCAAGTTCTAACATTGAAAACCTTGCGATTACTGCTTTCCTCAACCAGAGATTTATATTATCTAAAAATAGTAAGACTTTCCTTCCGCCTGCTAATCTGACTTAACTAGAAAAGATAGGAAAAGATTACATACAGTAGCCACCTTAGATATCAGATATTATCAACGAAACCGTAAAAAACATCTCCACTCTCATCACTTTCGATTATTATTCGGAGCTCTTAACCCCCCAGAAATAAGCTGTGGCTGCTCTAATCACTGCTGGATGGATAACTGTGAACATCAATATTTGCTCATGGTGAATAAGTAGTGCACACTCGATTACCGATTCTCCACAGATCGCGCCTGATTAATGGAAAAATTCCGATTATCAATCGGGGACACTTGTGCCAGTTGACAGGTGGCAAACGAGGGGGCCAAGAGCTAAGAAGGCTGGCAGGAGGGTTCGGTGCTACCTGGTCATTGTCGCCAGCAGTTGCCGCCGCCGTGTTTATGGAGGCGCTGTGGATATAACTGAAAGACACAACCTGTATCCCGCTCCCACACACGACACGCGTCGAGGTCTGGGCAAACAGCATCCGGAGATAAGAGCGCGTGACGCAGACTCTGGAGCATCAGGTTGCTGCGACGTGTCCGCCCCATCAGTTCGACCAGAGATCTAAGCCCAGAATGTCCACGCTGGAGAACGAGGTGACCTTCCGCAAGCAGGCGGAGGTCAGTCAGAGCCTGGAGGCGCAGTTTCAGGACAGCAACTCCTCCACGGACTTTATCCTAATCACCGACCATCGCACCTCCAAGAGCAAGAGTCTCGAGCAGCTGGAGGCCTCCAAGGAGTCGTCGGATGGCTCATCCTGTTGCTCTCGCTATGCCCGGAGTATTTTCCGGATGAAGACCCTTAAGCGGCGACTGCCCTTTCTCACCTGGCTGCCGCACTATAATTCCCGGGATTGTATAGGCGATCTGATTGCCGGATTCACAGTGGGTCTAACCGTTATACCCCAGGGATTGGCCTACTCGGGCGTGGTCGGTCTGCCACCAGAGGTGAGTTTAGGGCTTTATTTTCCATATATCTTTCTCAAAGATCATTGAGGTTTTTTTGTGAATTTTGGTAGAAGTTGAGTCGGTAATTCATCGCCTTATTTTTGATTGCTCATCAAGAAACTCAAATGTTTTCCCATAAAATTAGCAAGTGGGTGGAAGTGGAAAAGCACCGAGATAAGTAAAAAGTGACAACTTGATCAGTGATCTTAAGTGCGCGACAGGTGAAGCAGCTATTCGGAAGATACAGTTTGAGAATTACGTTAAAAATATAAAGAATATAAAGAACTTTAAGCGAAGTCCTAAAAATATTCAAAGTAAAGTGCAAGGATAAATAGAGAATAAATCTAGAACATTTGAAAACTATAAAAATATTAAACACATTTACTAAGCGACCTTAAATTTCCATACTTTTCCCCTCTCCAGTACGGTCTCTATGGCTCCTTTATGGGCTGCTTCGTCTATGTCCTTTTGGGCACCTGCAAGGACAGCACCATTGGCAGTACAGCAGTGGCCTCCCTGATGACCTTCCAGTTCGCCCAAGGCTCCTGGCAGCGATCCGTGCTCCTGACCTTTCTTACCGGCATAATTGAGATCTTTATGGCCATCTTCAAACTAGGCTGTTTGGTGGAGTTCGTATCGGGACCAGTGAGTGCAGGATTCACCAGTGCCGTGGCCCTGATCGTTTCCACCTCCCAAATGCGTTCAATGCTGGGCGTTAAGAGCGATGGCGGATCCTTTCTGGCCACCTGGATCAGCATGTTCCGGGATATCGAGAATGTACGAGTGGCAGACACCGTTCTGGGTTTCGGATGCGTTTTCCTGCTGTTGGCCATGAGAAGTATGGGAAAACTCGCCATCGGTCCCAAGGATGAGTCTCAAAGAAATGGTTTCCAGCGAGTTTTCAACCAGATTATCAAGTTCTTGTCCACGTCGAGGAATGCCTCCGTTGTGATTGTGTTCACGCTGATCACCATGCACTTGGATGCCCAGGGAACGAATCCTTTTCGACTCACAGGAAATATTCCCAAGGGGATGCCTACTCCCTCTCTGCCACCCTTTTCCATTGAGGCACAGCCGGGTAATGAGACGGCGGGAATTCCACCTGTTCCTGGACAGAACTTCCTGGAAATGGTGCAGAGCATGGGCTATGGACTCCTGATTGTTCCTCTGATGGCCCTCCTGGAAACCATGTCCGTTTGCAAGGCCTTCGCTAAGGGAAAGCAGATCGACATCACCCAGGAAATGATTGCCTGCGGAGTGGGCAACATAGCCACCTCACTCTTCTCGGGATACCGATGCAATGGTGGCCTGGCCCGTTCGGCTGTGAATAATGCCAGCGGGTGTCGCACCAATATGTCCAACCTATACATCGGTGTCATTGTGGTCCTTGCTTTGAACTTCCTCACCGAATACTTTGCGTTCATTCCCAAGGCGGTTCTGGCGGCTATTATCATATCGGCGGTGATCTTCCAGGTTCAATACCAAGTCGTCACACCCATGTGGCGCAGCAAACGTGAGTAGAGAACATCTTATTTATTAAAAATAAATTTTCCAAATAAGCAGAAATATTTTACAGGCTCTGATTTAGTCCCTGGCATCTTGGCCTTTATCACCTGCTTGGTGCTGCCCCTGGAAATTGGCATTATGGTGGCCATTGGCGTCAACCTACTCTTCATCCTATACTATGCAGCGCGTCCTAAGGTCACCCTGGAGCAGTTGGAGACCCAGCAGGGAATACGCTTTGTGAAGATCACCCCCGACCGCTGTCTGATCTTTCCCTCCGTGGAGTTTGTGAGGAATATGGTGCTCAAGTCGGGCAGTAAAACCACCCAGCCGGTGGTCATCGATTGCACATATATCTATGCAGCAGACTTCACAGCAGCCAAGGTGATCGCCTCCATGGTGGAAGACTTCCGCCGCAGGCACCAGAAGATCATATTCTTCAATCTCAAGCCGAGTGTGGTCAGTGTCTTTGAGGGTTTGAACACCAAGCTAGTGCTGTGCTATAACACTCATGCCCTGAATCAGGAACTTCGGCCCGATGAGCCCGATCTTTCGAGGTCTGTGGACTCCCTGGATCATGTGGAGTCGGGTAATGGAACTAGTGAGTGCGTTAGCATGGCCAGCACATTGTCATTGGCCAGAAGTTAGTCTGTATTTTGCCTGCGATTAAAGTTAGCTAAGTTATCTACTTGTATTTTACTTTAAAGAAAAATGATTGAAAACTATGCTGTCAGTCTTTGTTTATTATTTTTTGTGATTATAATTATGTGATTACTTCCAAAATTTCTTCATGGACATATTCTTCTCAGAGTCCTTCATCATCACCTTGGAAACGGCCATCTCAAAGTCCTCTTGGGTGACATGAACGCGTCGTTCCCTCAGAGCATACATCCCTGCCTCAGTGCAGACCCCTTTGACCTCAGCTCCAGATGCTCCCGGCATCAGTTCGGCTATCTTGCGCATATCTATGCCCCGGGTGAGGTTCATTTTTCGCGAGTGAATGTGTAGAATGTCCAATCTCGCCTCATCGTTTGGTGGTGGAAACTCAATCTTGCGATCTATGCGACCCGGACGCAGCAGAGCCTTGTCCAAGACATCGATGCGATTGGTGGCCATAATAACCTTGATGTTCTTGGTGGCCTCAAAGCCATCAAGCTGGTTAAGGAGCTCCAGCATGGTGCGCTGCACTTCAGAGTCACCGGTTCCTGTTTCCATGCGGGATGAACCAATGGAATCGATCTCATCCATAAATATTATTGAGGGAGCATGTTCCCTGGCCATCACGAATAGCTCCCTTACCAAACGCGATCCCTCGCCAATGAATTTCTGCACCAACTCAGATCCCGAGACCCGAATGAAAGTGCACTCAGTATGATGAGCCACGGCACGGGCCAGGAGGGTTTTCCCAGTGCCAGGAGGTCCGTAAAGGAGCACTCCCTTTGGCTGGGCTATGCCCAAGGCATCGAACAGTTCCGGGTGCTTCACCGGCAGCTCGATTACCTCCTTGATCTCCTGGATCTGTTTGTCCAGGCCTCCCACCATTTCGTAGGTGGAATCGGGAACCTTTTCCACCAGCATCAGGGAAACTAGAGGATCCACCTTGTTGGGCAGGATTTTGTGGATAGTGTAGCTCTCATTCCTGAGAGCCACCCGACTGCTGGGGGTCACGTCCTTCATGTTGATGTTCTTGTCCACATCTACCACATACTTTCCCTCGGGATGCACCTTTACCAGGACTTTGTTCTTGTCCATGGGCTTCACAACCTCGCCAATGTAGCTGCCCTGCTCTTGGAGTAGCATCAGTTCCTCACGAAGGGAGCGAACTAGGGATGAAGTGGGGGGTTAGCTTGAGGAGAGGGTACTAGGCTGGGGATTATTCTTACCCTTGGAGTTGAGTTCATTTCTTTGAGCCTGCAGGCGGAGCAGATTCTTCTGGCGCTCCGACACTATATACTGCAGTTCAGAAATTTTCTGTGTAAAGTAGGAATTGAATCCAGCACCGGCATCTCCATCACCGCCAGTTAGTCCCACATCAATATTCATCTGAGGTTTCATTCTGGTAAATAAATTCAGGAAATATTCTCTTGTATTTTTACTTACCTTTCCTTATGAACTCGTTGGTGTTAATAATTTTTAATATTTTTCAATTCAAGCTCTGTGGCTCTAATTTTGTTTTATTTTCAAACGAACTGAAGCGGGCTGGCCTACTGAGCTTTTGTGATGACACGACAGTTTTTATTCAGTGTCGATAGGGGCGGAAAGCTGGGAAAGATGACTGCCAACTTGGTTTCAAAATAAAAAGGTACGATAGTAGAGCAGATACAGTAGCGATATCTACGGTATTCTTGTTCGTTATTGACAACAAAATAAATTAAAAAACAGGAAAGAAAGCTAACTTTGGCCAGCCAAAGTGTGTATACCCTTGCAGATTGCAATTTGATCACTAAACGGCGAGACAGAGAGCGTTGGCAAGGAGGATTAGGACGAGGAGGAGTTATGAGGAGGATTCGTTTTTTTTTTTTGGGTGGGATAATTTAAATAAGCTCAATAAAAGAGCATTCTAGCGGTGTCAAATGAAAGAAACATAAAATATTGCAAAATAGCTAGATGAGCATCACTGGCAGTTAATGAGATGCCATTTTGTCCCAATAATGCAATATAGCTAGATGAGCATCACTAGTATTAACCGAGATTTTATAGCCTCCCAATATAGCAATAGCTAGATGAGCATCACTGGCAGTTAGTGAGATGCCATTTTGTCCCAATAATGCAAAATAGCTAGATGAGCATCACTGGCAGTTAATAAGATGCCATTTTGTCCCAATAATGCAATATAGCTAGATGGTATTAACCGAGATTTTATAGCCTCCCAATATAGCAATAGCTAGATGAGCATCACTGGCAGTTAGTGAGATGCCATTTTGTCCCATTAATGCAAAATAGCTAGATGCGCATCACTGGCAGGTAGTGAGATGCCATTTTGTTCCAATAATGCAAAATAGCTAGATGGGCATCACTAATGCACATGAGCATCACTGCCATTATGTCCGATTTCATTGCCCCCTAATATTGAAATATAGCCAGATGAGCATCACTGATGGAAGTGACCAAAATTTTTCATTCAATTTGGCCGCTTTCCAAACAGGGGTAACAGGCGAACAGAAACCAGCAGCAAGCAACTGAAAACTGGTATAAACTGTTATAAAAACTTTTGGGCAAAAATAATAATTGGTATAAACTGTTATATTTCATTTTATGCATTTATACCTATTTGTTGCAGACAATAACAGCTTGATGGCAACAACAACCTTTTTACAACAACATCCCTACAGCAGCCCATCCAAATTTCCGAACATTTCCATGCAAATTTCCCGTTTCCCAAATTGGGGTAACAGGCGAACAGAAATCAGCAGCAAGCAACTGAAAACTGGTATAAACTGTTATAAAAAATCCAAGTTTCGAACCATTTAAGAGCTGGCGCACGTAAGCTGAGACTCAAACCTTTTGAATCCAAATTTAGGTGTTATTTTACAACTGCACCTGGGCACACTGAAACTGATCGTCGTTAAATTCAAATTCAAATTTGGCAGTTAAATTCAAATTCAAATTTGGTAGTTAAAATATTTTAAAAAATTTTAAAAATTAAAAAAAAAATTTTTTAATCTAAAAAAAAGTTAAAATGTTAGAAAAAAAATTTTAAAAATTCAGGAAAACTTTTAGAAATTTAGAAAAAAAATTCAGAAAATGATGTTAAAAATTAAAAAAAAATTACATTTGGCTTTTAACAGATTTTTCCCCAAACAATCCCAAGGCCCCCAAATAAATGCCGCTTAAACCACACAATCTCTCATTGATTTCCATTTTTTTATTGCTTCAAATTTGTGTGTACCATCAATTACATTTACACATTTAAAATGTAGTTATAAATATTCCAATACTTTTCGCCTGCTGGGCTTCAGCTAGCCCGAAGCCAAGATCCGACCACTGCCATTCGCTTGAGCTCCGCCATCCCACCTGCTTGCTCCTCCAGCTTCACCACTGCCGATCCGATGATCATCAATCAACAATTACAATGATGACTAGGATGAACTTGTGCTTCGCGGATCGCTGTGTCGTTGGTCCTTTCCCTTGGTTTTTGGTCGGGGTGGGTGGTACTGATGAGCGATGGCGATGGCAATGACGATGGAAAGTCGGTAATTGAAATGAGAAAAACAGAAAATTAAAAACTAAAAAAGGCATAACTCTGTCAAAAATGCCTTAATTTGCTTTCGGAAAGCGGTGTTATGTTAGTTTTTATAAGGTTAACAAATCTGCAAACTTAGTTAAAAATTCAAAATTTTATCAAATTTTGAGAATTTTAATGATGTAACCCCTTATAAAATTTTGAAAAAATTGATAAAAAATTTTTTTTTGCCGGATATGGCCAGAACGATGCGCCTGTTAATGCTGATCAAGAATATATATGGTTTATAGGGTCGGAAATGACTCCTTCTATGCGTAATGAGCTGGAATAATATAAAATGGCTATATCTCAAAAATGATACAAAAATATTGAAAAACCGCCAAGTTATAATTTTTTTTCTAAAAATTTATCGAACATTTGTATGGCAGCTATATGATAGTCGTCCGATCCGGCCCGTTCCGACATATATAGCAGTGAGAGTATATAGAAGACTATATGCAAAGTTTCATTCAGATAGCTTTAAAACTGAGGGACTAGTTTGCGTAGAAACAGACAGACGGACAGACGGACAGACAGACAGACGGACAGACGGACATGGCTAGATCGACTCGGCTGTTGATGCTGATCAAGAATATATATACTTTATAGGGTCGGAAACGTCTCCTTCACTGCGACGCGTCGCAAACTTCTGACTGAAATTATAATACCCTGCAAGGGTATAAAAACATGTTAAAAAGAAAATGTACAACACATTTGATTTAAAAGTTTGAATTCCCTTTAGTTGTTAAATATATATAGGTATTTTCCCTAATGAATAGATACAAAAACAATCTATATAATGAAATTACTAAGGTCAGCTAAAAAAATACAATATTGGCAATAATTTTGTAAATTTTTAAACTAGAAGATGATTAATAATGTAAGCAAAAGGTTTTTGAGAACTTCGGGGAAATAGTTAACGAGTACCCAAAATGGTAATACATCATTATTATTTATTTCCGAATCCAATTTCACCATAAAAATTATTTATTAAGCTTAACCTTTCAGATTTGCCTTAAACAATCTTATCTCCAGAGTGATTGGTCCAGTTTTGATTCGTTTTGGAGCTTGAAGATTTACTGCCCACACCAAGCGCCAGATTAAAACACATTTTAAGTTGAAAGTTGGCCCGAAATCATAGCAAAATTGATTAGATATTTTATTTAGAAGAAGTAGGCAATCAGGGACTCAAAAATAGCCATGCCATAAACTCATCAGGCAAGTAATCCCTAATCACCAAGACAAGGGGAGGCATAGTAACCTGGAAATGATGTATTTTTTTATTAAATTTTTAATTTCATCAATATTTTCTTAAGATTAAAAATGTTTTCAGTTTTAAACAAGAAAGGAGGCTAGCTTCGGGAAGCCTTAGTTTCTAAAAACTTGCAGGTTACAATTTTATAAATATTGTTAATGAAATACCTCCTAATAATTCATGAAGAATACACTTAAGTAAACCAATTACTCACCCTTTCCAAAGCCAATAAAAAGTTATTTAGACCCAGTTACTCCTTAATATTTACATGATTTATTTAAGTACTTATGTCAATACTCTTCGTTCGCTAATCGTAAATAATACTATTATGCACAGCGGCAAACTCACGGGTGGGAGGGGGCTCTGTCTTTGATATTTCGCTCAGCGAAATTCACAACGTTTCGACAGAGGCCAAAATAAATATGTGCAGATATGTGTTGTACCTGCGGACAAGGTGGATAGATTGGTGGGAGATTGCCGCAACTTAAATGCTAATTAAGATGAACGCCAGCCCATGGAATGGTACCTTCAACTAAGGCAATGAGCGTGGGCGCAGGCTCACCAGAAATTTAGTCGCTGGCCTCGGCTGGCAAAGATCGAACTAAGACACCTACTAAACAGAGCGACACAAACTAGACACGGAGACTTAGGGCGAGACTAAAAGACTAAGACTATCTATCGCATGACGACGAGGTTGCAGCGTTGATCTCTCTCTTTCTCGGAACTCATCAGATCGTCGACTTCTCCGCCAGCTTGGCGTGCAGCGTGTGGATGTCATAGATCACTACCAGATCCTTGTTCAATCCCTCAAAGACCTGCGCCACACGCGGCTGCAGGTTGTAGAAGAATAGCGGCTGCTGACGCTGCTCAAAGTCCATGACCATGGTGGAGATTACCTTGGCGGCGGTGAAGTCCGCTCCATATATGTGAGTGCAGTCGATGACGACGGGCAGAGTGGACTTTTGACCCTGCTTGTTGATCACCTTGCGCACAAACTCCATTGAGGGGAAGATAAGGCAGCGATCGGGAGTGAGCATCAGGTACTTCAGGCCTGTGGTGGTCTGTAAATAAGTTAAATTTAAAAATATAATTAAATATTACCCTTATGAAATAATATTTTTAAAAGTATACGATATCCTAGTTTGTGCTGCTGCATAGCATACTTTTAGACATATGATATAGTCAAGAATATAGAGTAGATTTTATATTTTCTAAGATTACTTACCGCCAGCGTTTCAATGCGCAGCTTGGGCCTCGCAGCCTGATAGAGAATAAAGACCACATTGATGCCAATGCCCACCAGGATGCCCAGTTGCAGGGGCAAAACCAAACAGGCAAAGAAGGCGCCCAGGCCGGGAATGAGATCGGTTTCTGGTGAAGAAAGTAACATTTTTACCAACTCTTTTACAAGGATAAACCCTTCTCAAACTCACTTTTGCTGTGCCACATGGGCTTGATCACTCGATACTGGACCATAAAGATCACCGCCGCTATGATAATAGAGGCCAGTGCCGCCTTGGGAATGTAGTAGAAGCAGGGCGTAAGGTAGAGCAGGGCAATGATCACGATCACGCTGGTGTACAGATTGGAGAGCTGTGTCCTCACACCACTGGCATTGAGGATGGCGCCCCTGGCCACGCCTCCATTGCTCCGCAGACCCTGGACAAAGGAGTTGGCCACATTGCAGACTCCTGAGGCTATAAGCTCCTGAGTGGCGTCCGTGGGTTTGCCGTCAGCTGGAGGAGGGGAATTATTCGTGAAGGAATATTAATTAGTAAATATACTATTGTTGCATTCACAAATTTTTAATGACAAACAAAATAATGTGAGTAATGGCATGACTCTAATGGAACTATGACGAAACACCAAATTCTCTTTAAAGAATCGATTCCCATATTATTATATTAATTAAGACTCATCATGTGAAAGTGTAGCTGCCGTCACGTTTTATTAATTTTCTTAGCTTGTTGGGTCAAGACATTTAAATTGAAAAAAGGAAATTAAAGAAAATCATTTAAGGAAGAAATTCTTAACAAAAAATATGTTTTCAAATTTTAACAAAATTTCCCAGCCAAAATTGCCTTTGGAAGAAAAAAATGTCCGAATGAAGTATATAGCCAAAGTTGCTAAAAAAAATATAGATTATTATATTTTAGCAGTAAGCAATTTAAAAAGGTGATTCAACTCAGAAATAAGATTATTTAATGTCACTTATGTCATTAAGGAAGTAAGAACATTTAGTCTATTCAAAACTGATATGCTAAATCTTTGCTTTATTTAAGATTAAAGCTAAGATTTACGACTATTTATTTGACTAGAACTAGGGGCAGCAGGCGTCATAAAAAATAGATAACAAAACTTGAACTACGAGCTCTCCAAATATCCGATATCAACATGTTATTTTTTCGCTCTGTTTTAAGCAGCATTTTTATGCAAAACGATGAATCACAGTCACATTTTTGTTAAAAACCCCCTTAATTTTTTTATATAAAACAAACCAAGTTTTCCCTGCTCTTAAAAAACAAAAGTAAAACTCACCAAAAGCTTGAACCACGGCCATGGTTTCCAGGAGAGCAATCAGCGGCACCACAATGAGGCCCGAACCCAAGGTGCTGACCATATCCCAGAAGCTCTGGGCATTCTGCAGGATCTCTCCGGTGGTCTCATTGACCACAGCATCCATGTGGAAGGGTGGTGGCTGAAAGGAGGGCATTCCCTTGGGCACAAAGCCCACAGTCCTGACCAGATTCTCCTTGCCGCTCATAGATAGCCAGTAGCCCAGGCCAGCGGTGCCACAAACCAGGAGGGCATTCCTTGCAGTTCCAACTGTCCAGAAAATTCCAGTTAGCAGTTTCTGGGATGTGGTCTTTCCCTCCTTGGGACCCAGACTGCAGCTGGCCAGGGCTCGCAGGCTCAGGAGCAGAGTGATGCAGATGAGGCCCAGGATAAAGTCCGGCCAGCTGATGTTGTGTATATCATTAACGATGCTAATCCACACCTGCAGGAAGGTATTTCCACTCGTCTTGATGCCCAGAAAGTCCTTCATCTGGGAACTGAAGATGATCAAGGACACGGCACTAGTGAAGCCTGCTCCCACGGGACCCGAGACGAAATCTATGAGGAATCCTAGCCGGAAGACACCCATCAGGATCTCAATGAGTCCTGTTAGGAATGTGAGTAAAGTGGCCATTTGCCAGCTGCCTCCGGCGATTTGAAAGGACAACAAAGCCGATATGGCCGTGGGTCCAATAGGCACATCCTTGCTGGATCCAATAAAGATGTAAATGAAGCAGCCCAGGAAACAGGCGTACAGGCCATATTGAAGATCCAAGCCCGCTATGCCGGCGTAGGCCAAGGCCTGGGGAATCACAGTCAAGGCCACCGATATGCCCGCCACTATATCCCCGAATATATAATCCTTTTTGTACTGCGGCAGCCACACCAAAATGGGGAATCGCTTGTAAAGCGTCTTCTTGCGGAAGATATTGGACCAGAGATTCGAGCAGCAGCTCTGGGTGCCCTCCAGACAGCTCTCCTTGGGCCCCTGCTCCTCCTGGACGATGCAGTCCCGCGAGGTGTGATACAGCGTGTTGGTGGGTATGTCCAAGGACACCTCGGAGCCGCCATTGAAGGCACTGTTTGTGTGGCCATTGTCCACGCGTTGATGCATTTTAAGGCTTGGTTTGAGGGAATTTTCTGGGTTGTATTATTTCTTCTTATATATATTTTTCTTTTTTTTGCAATCGCCTCTAAGGCTTCATGGCACTCTCACTGTAACGACACTGACACTGACTGTCTCTTGGGGGTAACCGATACCAAAACCGAACCGATCGCGTGGCCATCCACTACGGGAATGATTTGGAGCTGCGGAAAGAGCAGCACTAACACCGCCCGCCTGCTGGGGAACCGATTATAAATAGGCAGCGTCGTGGGTCGCAGATCGCGATTCGCGAAACGCTGGCAGCGCATTCGAGACTATCCGCCGGCTTTCGTTACGTTATCTCTGCGACTCTCTCTCTCTGCTCTCGGGACTTTCAATGTCTGAGACATCTTGGGTAGACAGTTCTCTCGGTGCACAGAAGAAAATAACGTGTAGCTAGGAGACCTAACTAAGCAAAAATGTATATAGAACTCCTCTTTTAAGTACTTTACATCTGAAAAATATGTTTTTACCTATATTATTTCATATTATAGGTCTAAATTTATATTTCATAATTTTTATTTTAGTTTGGAAATTTTCTTTCAGTGCTTTTTTTCTCTGGCGAGTTCCAAACCGGCTCTCTACGAACCTCACCTCGGTTCGGATCGGGGCTTTTCATCTTGGCGACGGGCATGTCGTGTAACCGCCCAAAAGAAATGGAAATGACGCAGCCTACCAAGTGGGATGAACATGGGGACAGGCCCAGCATGTAAGACAACACCTTGTGGGAGGCTTTTAAGCAGAGAAGAAACTACGACTCCAATATGTTTACGTCTAAATTGGGTTTAAACTCTGAACCTGATGAAATTATTTTTATAATTTTAATACTATTGGAAACTTTTCAGAAAAAAGAAGGAAGATATGACAAAGGTTATATTTAAGTATTTATTATTTAATATGCGTCTTATATTCAATTAGTTTTTAGTGTTTTCCAAGGTATTTTAGCAGATTTTTGTTGCCCTTTTAACACTTAATTATTTATGGCATTTTTAATGAATATAGTATGATGCAACCTATTTGTTCAAGTTAGACTTCAGATGGCTATAAATCTCGTAAGTGACAGGCAATAAGTTGATTTGCTGGGTTAAATACAAAATATAGACCAATCAACCATCCTGTAATTAAAATTAGTTTATTAATGGAACAGAATTTTAACAGTTTTTCAATATTTATAATAATAGCTAACCTACAATTAATCCTTGCATAGAAAATTTATATTAATTTTTAAAGAGAAATATTTTCAATGAATTTATATCATATGAAGTATATTTCCTGCTATCCTCGAAATGTGTAAAATATCAAGTATAATTAATTAAAAAAATTATGTTCTAACATCATTTAATCGAGGTAAGTAGGGTATTTCCCCAGTCGTTCTCCAAGCTCAGCTACTTTTCTGCTTTGGAAAATCAGCAAAGTGCTGTGCGGTGATTTTTCCGCACGTGCTGGCACCAAGCTTGGGAAGAGCCATTATAAAATTGGAAAACAATGCGAATTGAGAAATGTATATTTTATTGCATGCTAATCGATTGGATTTTCACACCCTGGATTTCTTGTTAAGCTTTGGAGGCCAGGCTCAACAGGTTTTTTTTGTTGGACTGATTTTATCTTCCCATGAGATTTGCACATTTCTCAGGCTTTTTATCACTTAGCCAGAATAGTATTAATATTTATTAACGCTACGGATGAGTGATGGGGCCAAGTGATGTAGACTAATTTTGAAGGCAGTGAAAATTTCTCCTCGAACAAAAGACCCAATTTTTTGGAAGCCCATTATCTTTACAGCCCCTGGCGACAATCGACGGGAAATCAATCAGCCATATAGGAGCAGGGCGCATATAAATCAGTTGGAAAAGTGTTACCCATAAATCAACTATACGGCTGTGATAATGGCCGGAATTTGCCGGGACTCGAGAGCGCCACTTCGCCGCTGAGTAGTTGCAGATATTTACCATTTTGGCATCTCACCTCTAACCAGTTTGTTAACCGCTTAGCCCGTCCATATCTGTCTGTCAGCCAACAATTACGTGTTGTAGTTTTTAATATATTTAATTCCCCCTGCCTTAGACAATCGAGAGAGCCCTCTGAAACGAGCCGCGTTTCCGGACTTGTTTTGATCGGGCCAGAGTTTTTCTGGTTGCGGTTTTTATTCCCCCAACATCGACCCATTTGCATGCAAAGCCTTTATTCTGCAGAATCCCAAACTGGCTGGGGGTTTTTTTTTTGTGCGTCGGGGTTTTCCTTGACGTCACGCTCCGAATGCATGGCATCTGCTGAGTTGGTTTGGAAGCTTACCCAAATCACAGCTCAAATACTGCCCAACTATTAATCACACAACCAAGTCCACTGCCAAGTCCAAGTCTCTCTCTCTTCCCAAATGGGAAACACGCGTCAAGCGGCTGATCGATGGCGCAGAATAGGTTACGAACTACGATCCCAATAGACTAATGAAAATCAGACAACCTTTGGCAAAGTGAACGAAGATTGGTTGCCCTTCTCTGGATGGAATTTTACAGGGAAATGCTTTGACTCCCACCTTTCTCTTCTTAGATTAAAGCAGTCTTCCAAGCACCCTTCTCTATGGGAATTTTTGATACAACAGCTGAGGGAAAAAACTTAGCATTAAATCATAAACTATGAGTATTAAATATTTATTATTCAGCTGGTGAATTATCATTTAAATGGAAATTTTTAAGACGATTTGAATAGTCATTAAGTTAGTTATTCCCTTATTAATAAACCAGAAAGAAAAGCTATGCTATGCTTATATAAAATTACCCTTAAATAGACATCCATTGAATATAAATCACTTGTAAATGTGGATGTTAACTGAAATATAAGCCTATAAAGGGAACACCGCTTTTCAAAGATATATTATTTTGACCACAATCGTAGACTGTATCGATTCTCCAAAACAATTGATCTCTCTGATCTCCGATCCAGTCACATTGCTGGGATACTTTCGCGGCATTTGTTATGAATATTTATAGGTCGCTGACTTGTTCAGGTGATTGGGCGGACGGACACATAATCACCGTCGTCGCTGAGGGATATATGTAACACTTGTGCGGTCAATTTGCATTACTCATACGCAGCGTAAATCCCCAGCGGGAGGGAGAGTAACGAGAGGCAAGCACATTAGACAACAATTAAATGTACATAGCGAGCACCAGCAAGTCAATTATAATTTTGAGCAAATTTAATTTGCTTTTAATTTCGCTGGCGTGCGGATAATTGTATGTTTAACTTCTCTTCCCTCCCTGCGGTTGTTTTTCACATCCATCATCACATCGTCGTCTTTTGGTGGAACAAATAAATGCCTTCTGTGGACCGCATAAATCTTTGGTGCGCGTGGGCGGCCTAGTTTGGGTGAGATTAGCCTCAAGCCATGGCCAGATTTCGGCAGTTATCTGTTTGCCGGTGAAATCTCTCAAGGTAGGTCTGATAAGGGGAAACTCTCCATCTTTCCCTGAGGGTCACATGTCGGAAAGGCATGTCCATTTGTATGCATTGGGCTCAGTTCTCCTCATGATCAAATATGGACAGCACGTAGAGGTAGGTAACTGTGTTTAAGTACACCGAAAAATTAAGGCTATAAATATATGTTTTTTAAGGTTTTTAAACCCAAAAAAACATAATAAATTATAATTAAATTTAAGTGAATCCTTGAAGCAGTATCTTTACTAGAAAGTCTCTTTAAATTTTTGGTTTTAATTTACTTTACCCCCATTTCTCTCTGTGCCTCTGGTATCTCAACATCTGAAACTGCATTGACAGGCAAGCAAGTAAACAAAGTTAAAGTTAAGCTTTAACAATTGCAATGAATGACAATCGTCGCTCAAATAAAACTGTTAATTGTGCATTCAGTTAATTGTATAAGATCCCAAACATTACGCAAGACGATCAGTCGCCGCCTCGTTTTAATCCCATCCCCCCTAGAAGCGGGGACTGCATTGAGGCGTGTAAAGTCCCCTACGTAAGGCTTCACGTGACTCAAACCCGTCGATCTGGTATTCAAAATCATGATCGAAATGAATATACGAGCCCCGTCTGAGGTCAGCCTGTGCAGGAGGAGGAAGCGAATCCGTGTCAGGGACCAAGTTCAATGGCAGATACCCCAGATTGATCCCACCAAGAAGAGTTTGAGAAGAAGAGGAGCCCCTCCTGAAAATCCCCGTCTTAATGAGGCATCAGTAGTCTTCGGGCTCACGTGATCCAAACCGCTTTGATCCGGTGAGTTGATGAGTTGGTCAGAGGCGGGGGTGATGATAGGTGGGGCTTTGTGGAAAGAAGCTCGTTTTTTGTTGTTACTTTTATCACGGCAATAACCGCAGAAATGGCAACGAAACTGAATTAATTTGGTCACATGACCGAGCCAGAAGAAAACAAAATGTAGAGATATATATTCATATGAAAAAAAAGAAATACAAAAGCAAATGAGCATCTGGCAAATCGTATATATTTTTACCCACACAAACATCAGGGGTACTCATTATCTTGGGCGAAAGTTGTGGGGAAATCAAAAGTAGTTTGTTTGATAAAATCAATAATAAAATATTAATAGAGTATTGTTCTAGATGTTTTATAAATTTATCTAAATAAAAATGATAGGGAGTATAGAAAAAAAAATATTTTTAAAGAATTATTCATCTGTTTTCTATTTTAAAATTAAATTGTTTAATAATCCAAATAATAAATTTAATAGAAGATAAGAATAAGTTAAGTGAACATTTCTGTATATTTTTTTTAAATTTTATTATTCAATTTTCTTAGAAAAGAAACTCAAATGATTCGAAACATAAATTATAAAGAAACCAAATAAAATAAATATCTATTCCAAGAATTATTTCTCCGCCTCTCTACTGAGTACCCCTAACGGCGCTTATTGAAATGTAAAGCATATTCAAAATCATCAAAATGGTAATTCTGAAATGACCAACAAGCGGAGTGGCCAGGTCGTGTGACTAGTTTGTTTTTGTCGCCCCCAAAGCGAAATTGATTCGTTCTGCCACACAAAACGCAAATCATCGGAATATTCAACAAATGATATATACATCTATATCATTCCCCCCCTCGGGGCAACTAATAATCATTATGGACATTACACCCACATAAAAACAGGAGCCGCGGAAGCGTGCAATCCAGATTATGGCCCATTATAAATTAGACAATAAGAGGAAAGGTGCTAAACTGGGGCCAATCAATTTATGGACCCACCAAAGTGTCGTGCTAATGAGTTGCCAACAAGCCCGAGTAAATTAACAAATCAATTTTCGGAGTGATAAACAAAAAGGCAAACACAAGCGGAAAAACACAAAAAGAGCAAATTGTACTTATCAGAAACAAACAATTGGCATTGCCAACGGAATGATAAAACAATCGAGCCGACAGACTCCATTAAAAGTTGCAAGTGATGGACTGTTAATAGACTTACTATAAACGCCTGACGGAAGCCGGTTCAATGCACGCCAAAGCAAAAGCAGGGCTAACATGGCGTATGCGCAATGCGCCAGCTTCACGTGACTCGTCATTGTAGTCGCCGTCAGTCTGGTAATTCAAATGGGAACTAGATACCCGTTCGATCTGAGTTGAGGCTAGGGCCTGATTTGCATGTTTATGTCGCTTCCCAGTCGGCAGGTGCCTGAGATTTGTGGGATAACCTGGGCTTTATATTATATGTTGTTATTATTGTTTGCGATAGTAAAGCAGCAGCAGCAGCAACAGCGGCAGTAAGTGTCACGCAGAACAATAAAACACGATTTCTGTTTGGATTTCAGGGAGCAAACACGGCGCCGGTTTATCGCACTTGGCCTAGGCAGAGACCTCACAAATATACGGCATTGGGCCAGCCCAAATATTGTCTTAATGAGACCAAGTTCCTTTCCAGACTCGTCACTGCCAAGAACCGCATTCTTCAGTCATTCCTCGGGTATTTAGCAATGCAAATTTGCCCTCTTCGGCACCCTATATGGGCGGAGATAAGGTACTGGCATATCTTGATTGCTTGATTAATGGACCATGATTTATGTTATGTCTGAGTTGTGCACACATACCTAGTCTAAGCGGGATTCTCCAGTTTTTAGTTTGTCACGAGGAATGGCACGGAGATGCAACACTATCTTATCTCTCTTGGATGCACTCGTTTCCGCAACGAAAATATTTGTCAAATAAAAAGCGAAGCGAGACATCTGTCAGGCTAATGCAGAATGCAAATATGGCAATTTCTTAAGGGGTACAAGTGCCCTGCTCATGATGATTTGTTGATACTTTAGCTAGGTGGTAGGAGGCTCTCAGCTGAAGAACTGCCATAAATTAAAGGAACCATAAATTGCCCAACAGCACCTTTATGATGCACCGAAAACTTTCCACTCTTTTGAGTACATTCAGCTTTTATTTTAAACAAAGTTTCGGCATATCTTACGACTTACGAGCTAGAAGTAAGTGGGTTTAGCTTGCCAATGAACGAACGACTTGTTGGGTAGTGTGGTGTGTTCTATAGTGGAGCCCTAAAAGTATGCTACAGTGTGTGGGATCATTCGTTTATTTGAGCAAAAAATGGTTTCCAAAGGGAAAAACAAACAAAATAAACAACTATTTTTTGTGACTTCATCAATAGCTATGAACTGGGAGGCTGTGTGAGTGTGTATGTAGATGGAGGGAACTGCTCCTCAATCCTCCAGCGTGACATTGCGGAAGAGATAGGACATGGACTCCTTGTTGTGAATGCGGCGAATGGCCTCGGCAATCAGTATGGAGATGTCGATCGTTTTGATCTTGTGGCACTGCAGCTTCTGGATCTCATGTGGAATGGTATTGGTTACAACGATCTAAGGGAAGTTAAGGAAAAAATAAGATTATAGAATATATATTTCTAGAAAGGAACTCTTAAAACCCACCTCATCGATGGGCGACTCATCCAGCAGACGCGGTGCATCCGAGCTAAGCAGACCGTGCGTGGCCAGCACGTAGATCTTGCAGGCTCCATTCTCCTTCAGCATTTCAGCGGCGGCCACAAAGGCCTGGACATCATCAATTAGGTCATCCTGCATTTAAATTTGGGATTAGTTTACACATAAATCTGGATAAATCCCAGCTTATACTCACCACCATGATGGCAATGCGTCCATTCACATCTCCCACTATGGTCAGCGGTGGCTTGACCTTGCAAATATGCTCCGGCACACCCACCGACACCGAGGTGGTGCGCTGCCTGTTGCTGCTGCTGATCGGGGCGTGTTGTGGAGTAGAGTTTCTAGTGGTTAGTGTGGCAGCAGAGTTTCACATGGATCGTGGTTCGAGTGGTGTGCAATGTGGTGCAAGGTGTTGGTGCATTTCGTATATTTCGGATTGTAATCGTAAACCAAAAAAGAGAAGAATCGTGTGGGTGGGTGGGGTTTGTGGGAGGTGGCGGGGGGAAAAAGTACAAATGGCATTTTCGATTAAAAATCATAAATTTAACTGAAATTGAAACAATAGTTTAAAAAAATACGAACCTAGGCATCGCTGGTAAGCACATTTCAACTGAATTTCCTAATAAATTGCTATACGCACTGCATATAACACAAAAATAAAGAGAAATTTCGATTGTTTTTTCGTTTTCTTTGCTTGATTTTGAAAATTTTGACATTACCACGAACAAGTGTCGAGTTTTTATTATGGCAAGTTTAGTGGAGCATACAAATAAATACAAGAGCTAAAACATAACAGCGGAAATATAATAACTAGCGGAAAACAGCTCGAAAATCTACAAAAGTGTCTTTCTGCCTTGGCTGTGAAGTACAAACAAAAAGGCACAGGACAGAAGCAGTGATAAAAATGACAAAACGATGAGCAAGCTTTAATGGGAAAGTGCGTTTTTATAAGACAAACTTTGTAAACTCAAATAACTACTATGTGTTGCAGATGTAACAATGTTATAAAGTCTTTATAAGTTAATAATTTAAGACAGTGGTCGGCACTTTCTTGTTTTTCAGGCATTAAAAATAATTTAAGTACTCAAAAAGCGAGGTATGAACGATATAAAGTTAAAAAAACGAAAGAAAACTAACTTCGGCAAGCCGAAATTTGTATATACTTGCAGTTTGTCATATGAACATAATATCGAATCAAAAATTGATCATAACTAAGCCAAAAAAGCATCAAATTCAATTCGGAAAGCATTTCTGTGTTAGTTTTTAGAAGATTAATAGATCTGCATACTTAATTAAAAATTTTTTTTAAATTAAGATTTTTGAGAATTTTGACGATGTAACCCCTTATCAAATTTTGAAAAAAAAAAATTGAAAAAAAAAAATTTTCTCCGACATGTCTAGAAAGACTCGCCTGTTAACGCTGATCAAGAATATATATGATTTATGGGGTCGGAAATGGCTTCTTCACTGCTTTTTAAGCTTCTGACTCAAATTGCAAGGATATTCAAATGAAACAAAATCTATGTAAGTGCAAAGTGACAATCAATCGAAATGAGTGCAGCTTCAGTCATAAAAGAAGCCTTAAACGCACAAAAAACTAACAAAACAAAGCTGGCAGCAAATTATATAAAAAACATGACTTGGAAATCAAAACAATATCCTCACGACTAAAGAACTCAAGAGAACTCAAGAAGAGGATCATCAGCGTTGGCCTGCTGTTGGAATTACAAAATCATAAAATAGAAACTCACCTGGTCGGTGGTGGAGAATAGCGACCATCTACCTCGTCGCTTTCGGCCTCTTTCTGTTCACCATGGATGACGGCCAGGCCGAGACGCAAACGTTCCGCATAAGAGTTGGCCTTTTTGGCCACTCCAGGATTCCGGGCCACAATCACCGAGTTGCGATAGTCGGGAATCTAAAGAAGATATATTTTTATAATTATTAATTTTTATTAAATTTAAATTTAAGTACTTACGCTCTCCTGAATGTATTGGAGCAGAAAAGGCGATGCCCTCAGATTGTCCACCGGTATGTCAAAGAATCCCTGGATCTCCTTTTGATGCAGATCCATGGTGATGATGTGCGTGAGGCCCGAGGTGCACATCATCTTGGCCAGCAGCTTGGACACAATGCAGCCACGCTTGCGCATCTTGCACTGTTTGGAATACGGCAAGTAGGGAATTACTCCGACAATTGAACGAGCCGAGGAGGTCTTGCAGGCATAGGCCATGATTAGAAGCTCCATGATGTTGTTGTTGGCATCCCTGAAAGAAGTTATATTACATTTAAAATTCATATACTATTAAATTACTTCTTACTTAGTGCCTGTTTGGATAATGTAAATGTCCTTGCCTCTTACGGAGTCACTGATCTCGACAATGGTCTCCCGATTGGACTTGTGGAAAACGGAGCAGCCGCCATTCTTGAGGCCCATGCGCTCGGCCACCATGTTGGCCAGATCCGGATGCGAGTTGCCATTGATAATGACAATGTCCGAGGTGGAGATGTTGTCCATGTCGCTCCTGCAACGCTTCGGTGGCCGTACGCTGCCTAGTCTGTAAGGTATAACATTCGGAATTAATTACAGAATTCTTAAAGATATTTTAAACAGAAACCAAAAACATTTACTGGGGGGTTATGAGATAGCTAGGTACCTGCGTTTGGACATGCTTTAAGCCTGAAGGGGACTCGGGTTTAGGGTTAAGCGATGTTGGGGTGCTTGCCATAACCATTAAAGTCACACACACGCAGTCGTTACGGTTCCCACGTTACGTATCGATTAGCCCCAGTGAACCAAATAGCCCCAACGGCAAACGCAATTAGTTGTCCTGCCCTTCGTCGTCTCGGTTGCTGCCCAGCTTGTGGAAACTGTGTGTGCCCGCCGCGAATGGTAAAACCACAGCCGAAGCGAACGAAACGCGAAGGAAACTTCTGCGAAATATCGACCAAACATAGACAGGGCGACACACGTGAGTGGCGTGGCAACGTCAAAGTGCCAACATGCGAAGAATCACAGTTCCGGAATCCGCAGCCCGGATTCCAAGGCAGTCAGCAGTCTGTCGGCGCGGAGGAAGCGGCGAGAAGCGACCGCTGCTGCCCAGGATTAGCAGATACAGATCGAACCAACTCTCGCACGCGACTACCTCGAGAAAAGTGAAAGGCCAAGACGGCCGACCCAGAAGGAGGAGGCGTGTGTTGGCTAATTGAATTTCTATTTTTGATCCTGCTCCGGGTCACTGAGCCAACGACGCCGCCACTCCAAGGAGAAGCAGCCTCAAAACCGGAAGAAGTGCATGGATTGAGGCAGTCAACACTTCAGCCAAGGCATGGGCGACTCAGGTAAGTTAAATGGGCATAAATGTGAGCCAGCGATAAAAAATATCATGGAAAATAGCATGAGTATATGACAATTTTGAATACTCTTTAAATTTGATTAAATAAGTTTCATCGAAGGGTTATTTTCTTAACTTTTGAACAGTTATGGTTTAGTTATTTCAGAGTTCAAAAAGACATTAAAATTAACTACCTAAAGTTATTATTTATCCTATTCCTCCAAGCAAATGTAATACTTTGATAAGTAAGAGTATTTGATGAAGCTATTTCAAGACCCTTCAAGCCCCAAGACATTCGCCTCCGGCTTTTCAACTTCGGCTTGGTCTGAGGGGGCCGACGCAACCGCGAGGCGACTATTCAATTTTAGACATTTGACTTCTCGAGTTGCTCAAAGCCTAGCTGAAGGCGTTGGCAGTTGCAGCGAATGCATTGCAAACTTGCGGCACGCATATGTGCCACATGAAGGGTAACAATCAGGATGAGGAGAATGAGGCCCTGATTTAAAGATAGCTTCTTGGGTGGGATGAGGAGCAGGCTACAGGCTACGCCTAACCTCAGGCTAAGAAAGTTATGACAGGCTGAGCTGAATTGAAAACCTAGAAGGATTAGGGCCACTCCAGCCTGGTGAGTTGCATTAGAAGAAAGTATAATTTTGCCCGAGAAAGACGCACTAGCGGAGAAGCCACAAGATGTTGGGAATTGCCTGTGATCCGCTCCAGCATACGAGCATGTACGAGCGCGGCTCAGATGGTACTACAAAGTGATCTGAAAGATCTGTTTAAGGAGATTAAAAAGCACAGTGTTAAGAACTTATAATCAAATAGTCAATGTAGATTATAATTTCTAAGGTCAAGAACTTAGGAAACTATTGCAACAGAACACAATCTTATATTTAGCTATCGCGTAATTTCACTTTCAGTTCTTATCAATTTGATTTTCAATTATTTTTGTCCAGGTTGTTTATAAATAATTTACTAGAAGAGAAATTGTAGATTTGTGTTATTATTTAAGGACAAAGTTTGCTTAATCCCTCTTTGTTTAAATTCTTCTTTTTAGATAGCGAAGACAGCGATGGAGAAGGTGGTCTGGGCAACGTATCCAGGGTTATCATCCGTCCACCAGGTCAGAGCGGTAAGGCCAAGAGAGGTCACCTCTGCTTCGATGCGGCCTTCGAAACGGGGAATCTGGGCAAGGCTGAACTAGTAGGGGAATTCGAATACGATCTCTTTCTAAGACCCGATACTTGCAATCCCCGCTTCCGCTTTTGGTTCAACTTTACCGTGGATAATGTAAAACAGGATCAGCGGGTGCTCTTCAACATTGTAAACATCAGCAAGAGCAGGAATCTCTTTGCCTCGGGACTCACGCCGCTCGTAAAGAGCTCCAGCCGGCCCAAGTGGCAGCGTCTGCCCAAGCGACAAGTGTTCTTTTACCGATCGGCCATGCATCAGGGTCACTATGTGCTGAGTTTTGCCTTCATTTTTGACAAGGAGGAGGATGTGTACCAGTTTTGCTTGGCCTGGCCATATAGTTACTCCCGCTTGCAGTCCTATTTGAATGTGATTGATGCTAGACAAGGAGCGGATAAAAGGTTCACGCGATGTGTGCTCATTAAGTCATTGGTGAGTATTGATATTAACCAACTTGAAGCTAAAATTAATCATAATCTTTTGTATTATTCCAGCAAAATAGGAATGTGGACCTGCTGACCATTGATCATGTAACCCACAAGCAGCGTTCCACGAATCGCTTAGACCGTAGCTTTATCCGCGTGATTGTTATCCTTTGCCGGTCGCATTCTAGCGAAGCTCCAGCCTCTCATGTGTGCCAGGGTCTGATTGAGTTCCTGGTGGGTAATCATCCCATTGCCGGCGTCCTTAGGGATAATTTCGTCTTCAAGATTGTGCCCATGGTGAATCCGGATGGGGTCTTTCTCGGCAATAATCGCTGTAATCTGATGGGTCAGGATATGAATCGAAACTGGCACATTGGTTCAGAGTTCACGCAGCCGGAATTGCATGCAGTGAAGGGCATGCTAAAGGAACTGGATAATTCAGATGTGAGTATAAGTCGTACCATCTATTAAGCTTCCAAGAATCTATTAAGCTTTAAAAATGTTTGAAAGAAAGAAATTTGAAGGTCTTATTATCAGTTTGATACTAATTAGTCATCAATTAGACACATTTTTTGGTTTGATTTACTATATAATCTGTGATTCATTGATAGCACTCTTCATTTCTAGTCGTCTTGTGACGTTTGATGCATATTTTCAAAATAAATCAAAGATTATTGTCGAAAAGATAGATAGATTTTGTTATCAAATAGACAGGTAATTTGTAAAGTTGATATATGAAGTCTAGCTTCCGATTAAGGTTTATATTTTATGAGCGTACTTGTAAGGTGCTTAGTATTGTTGATCCTCTTCTAATTTCCCCATATTTTTTTCAGACCTATCAGATTGATTTTGTGATTGATTTGCATGCCAACAGCAGCATGCACGGCTGCTTTATCTATGGGAATACCTACGAAGACGTCTATAGATACGAGCGGCATTTGGTTTTCCCGCGACTCTTTGCCAGCAATGCTCCAGACTATGTGGCGGATCACACCATGTTCAATGCAGATGAGCGCAAGGCGGGCAGCATCCGGAGATTCAGTTGCGAAAGACTGAGTGACACAGTTAATGCCTACACTCTGGAGGTTTCCATGGCAGGACACTACCTCAAGGATGGTAAGACTATTTCCCTGTACAACGAAGATGGATGTGAGTATGACTTTTGGATAGGAAATATAAGAAAGAGTAAAATTCCTTATAAATTCTCTCTTTCCTTTAAAGATTACCGCGTTGGCAGGAATCTGGCCAGGACTCTGCTTCAGTACTACCGCTTCATCAACATCCTGCCCATGCCCATTGTGACAGAAGTCCGAGGGAAGAGACGTGGGCGCAACCGCCATGCCCATCACTCCCGATCCCGTTCCAAGACACGCTATGAGGTCAAGCCACGCCCTAAGACGCCGCGTTGCCATGCCCCCATTGCCTACACAAATCTCAGTATCTGCTATGATTCTGGAGGTGGAGGAAACTCCTCGGATGAGGGAGGATTCTCGCCCACTCGTCCCTTGGCGCCGGGCAGCAGTTGCTTTAGTGGATATCGTAACTACAGGAGAGCAGCCACTGCTGGATCCTGCATGAATCCCGCTCACGATCAGTATTCGCCATTTGCATTGGCAATGAAAACGGGGAGTGATCCTGGAGGAGGAGTACCTGGTGGCCACGGTGGAGGAAGGAGCAAGAAGTCGGCTGCCCAGGTCACCATAGAGGTTCCCTTGCCGGTGAATGTACCTCCCAAGCCGTATCTCTCCATCATTGACCTGAATCAGCTGACCAGAGGAAGTCTGAAACTGAAGTCCAATAGCTTCGATGCAACAGATCGGAGGTAGAATAAGTGTCCTTTGATAAGGAGCCCATTAGAGTGATATTATCCAGTCTTTTCTACGCTTCATGCTTGTTTTTCTAATAAAAAGAAAGTATCCCAATTAGAATGCAAGGACTCCCCGTTGTGTATCCTAATTAGACTATTTTAACCTCTCTTTCCTCCATCCTCTTTCCACGACGCTGGGCAACAAGTCTTGCGATTGAGTGAAACCCCCCGCGTGAGTGGGTTGTTGTTCCGCTGGCTTATCTCGCCCCTGGCATTGTTGTTGCCTTTTGCTCTTAATTTGGCTGTGAGCCAGAAAACCAGCTGCGCTCAATTGGCGACATGTGAGCTTTGCATATCACACACAAAATAAATGCGGTTATTTACAGTGGGCAGACGACGACACCCACAACAAGCAAACAAAGAAGGCGAGTGCTGGCGACACGTGAGTGGGAGCGGGAGGCCCTCACTCGCGGCACTCCAGCGTGATTAACGGGATTTGCGGGGCCACCTTTATCTTATCAGACGCGATACGTGTAAACTATAACCTCCACATCAGCTGTATTTAGTGGCTATAGGTGAAAATACCTCTGCGTGATTTTCCCACTCACAGAACTCACTCACTCGACGGGAAACACGCGCGAAAAGTGTTGATAAGAGCGGAACTCGCGAGCGACTGACCGAAAAGGCTGGCTTCTGGACTGATTAACGCTTTCAATTAACACGGAATCAATATATGGAGCCCCGCGACGGCACTTTTTCACGTTATTTCTTCGTATAAATAAAAGCGAATGGTCGTGGGCAGAGAGGAGCGCAAAACAGACAGAAGGCGTAAAAGCCACACGGCGATAACTGGACGGGCGCGATGAAGTAACAAAGCGAGAACGGCGAATTCAAATGAGTGATTTATATGCACTCTCTCTGGCTCTCTCCCGCTTTTGAGCGAAAAGTGAGTGAGAGAGAGAGAGAGAGAGAGCTGCACTAGAAAATGGAGAACAAAACAAAGTGCGAGAACGGCGAAAAACAACAACAAAGGCGTTGGGGCTATAAATAAAATGCAAACACAAATTCCAGCAAAAGGGGGAGGTGGGGGTGGTGTGGGCCTCGTTAGCACGCAATTGAACAACACAAATTGGTTAGACAAACAGAACGTGTAATTGAACATTTAATCTCTCAACCTGGCCAAAATCTTCGTGGGCACTGGAAAAAAACGTGGAAAACGGGAAAATGGGTGATAAACACAGGGATACAGTGGGAAAAGGAGCAAACACACACACACACACACAAGACACTAATTAAATTATACATATAAAAACACAGAAATATAGGGGGAAAACAGCGAAAAATTGGCCGCTTTTATTATATTTTACTTGTTCCGCTGCAGCAGCATGTTGAGTTCGGTAGATTTCACTGTATTTATCAGGCGTTTATTGATTTATTTCGAAATTAACACCTTTTCTGTGTCTTTTTTTGGTAGAACCGGCAGAGAAACGCTCAAAGATTGAGTTCAAAAGGGACAGGAAGAGAGCCCAAACACACACACTTGTTTAAAGCTAGTAATGATTTCGCAATTTACTCTTTTTCGATTGAAATTCGCCGGAAAACTGCGACGAAATCCTTATTTTATTAGATTTTTATTTTTATTGGATTAAAAAAAACAGATGTTTGCTTTAGAGGGACCATTTCTTGGCGTGTTGCCAAATTGAAGATTTCCGCTTTTGCGGCTTCTGGGCACACTCAAACATTGAAAACACTCAGATCTCCCGATCTGGTACTTTTGGTCGCTGGGACTCAAAAGTCTGGCAACGCTGGTCGTTCGTGCCGCAGCGTTGCCAGACTTTTCGGTCCCAGCTAACAGTGCTGCCAGACTTTTCGGTCCCAGCGACCAAAAGTGCCAGATCACCTAAAAAATCCACACCCGATACTCGAACCACATCTGATACTCGAACCGCATACACGAAAGGTCTGGCAGCGCCGGTGCCCACGCATTGACGATCTGGCACATTTGGTCGCTCGGATCAAGAGTCTGGCAACTCTGGTAGCTCGTACATTAGCGTTGCCAGACTTTTCGGTCCCAGATCGTCTGGCAACGCACCAGTGCTGCCCATGCTTGCGTTCATAAGCCAACAGTGCTTCCCAATCTTCAAACATTTGCGCTTTCGCGGCTTCTACACTGTTCAAAATTCATGCCAAATGCATTATTTACGCTCATTAAACCGTGAAAAATAAATAGATTTCCCAGCAGGTGTTCTACTTCCAGAATTAAGTTAAATATAATGGCTGGGGGAATCAAGTCGCTTATTTTGCTCCTCATTCTGGGATGTCCTTGTTTCCAGGCCATGGATGAGAAGGAGGTGCGAGAAATGATGGCTTTGGAACAGGAACTCCTCAAAAATCTGCAAAAATATGCCGTCAAGCTGGAGGATAAAATAAACCTCATAGAAGAGTGAGTTTTTAAGTTTAAATTATTAAATTTTAAACAAAAAATTACCATTTCCCATAGATCCATTACTGAATACACCGAGGAGATTAATGAGGCCAACAAGGATCCGGAGTTATATCTGTCGAATCCGCTGAATGCCTTCCGCTTGATTCGACACATGCACCAGGACTGGGTGAGCTGGCAGGTGTACATGGAGAAGCCGGTGGCCCCCGAGGCAGTGGAGAATCTAGAGCGTCTCCTGCCGCAGTTACCGGAGAAGGAGGCCTATAAGCAGGCGGCCAGAGATGTGCATGATCTGACCCAGTTCTATGACTATAAACCCAGTGATTTGGTGGCTAAGAATGAGAGGAATAGGTAGGATACTATTATTTAAGATCTTCTGATATCTTAGCTCCTCTTCCTTCCAGCTCCTTGCATCTCTCTCCTCTGGACTGCTACCACTTGGGACTAGAGCGTTACGAGGAGGAGGACTACCTGGGAGCAGCCAAGTGGCTTAGCGTGACAGCCGAAAACTACACCCTTTCGGAGTACAGTGATCTGTACGGCCTGCTGGGAGCTCCACGCTGGCAAGTGTACAGAGATCAGGCCAGAGCCCTCTTGAAGCTCAGTAAGTTAAAGTTAATCATAGATAATATCTTAGCTAATCCCTAAATAATCCCTTACAGATCGTCCTGCCTTCCTAGAGACCTATGAACAAGCCTCCAATCTTAATCCTTTTAATGTCCACTTGATGGACGAGATTGGCCAATGGGAGTTGACCAGTACGAGGGATCCCATGGATCCCGTACCCGATCCCTTGCCAAAACCCACCAAATTGGAGAGGCACTGCCGCGGTCATGTGATCCCACAGAGGAACTTGGCTTGTGAAGTCTTAAACTGGGGCTCGGACTTTATGAAACTGGCTCCTTTGCGTTTCGAGCTGTTGGTAGAGCCGTTCACGGTTCTTTATCCCAATAGTGTCTACGAGACAGAGCTCCGGCATGTGGATAAGGTCTACAATCAGTGCCCACCTATAAATCAGTTCCACCTGGAAAAGGGAGTCACCGGCTGCTCCATATCCAATGGATACAGTCCCACCATGGGGCGACTCAGAGACCGAGTGCTGGAAATGACGGGAATGACTAAAACATGGAATAGATCTTTTGTTGTGGAGAACGACAGCTTGAAACCGCTGGAGATCTCTAAACTTTTTCGGAAATCCACGAAGGTTTCTATATATTCTTAAAATTTTCTTGGAGAAGAATCTTTAAAAAGTTTCTTTTTTAGTTCCCCGATCTTAATGTCATGGAAAAGACGAATGTGGTGGCCACGGCAATCATATTTGTAAGTGGTTTTCAGAGGCAATCTTCAGCTACTAATTTTAATAATTTATATTTAAAATTCCAGTTGAGAGATGTTCCTGAGGGCGGTGCCATAACCATGCCTAATTACGAGCTTTTTGTGCAACCCAAAAGAGGAAACGTTTTGCTTTCCGTAAATGAGATGCAGCTGGACACCACAATTTGTCCAAATGTCGTGGGCAGTGGATTAGGTGGGGGATAGAAATGATATTTCAGTAATTTTTTCACAGCTTTAACTTAATTTCCATTTTTATTTTCAGTTATGATCCAGTTTGTTCTTAATGATGAATAGGAACGTTTAATATTTAAATTGTATTAAAAGAGAAGCAATTAAAATACATTCGTGGAAATATATTGAGCTTATTGAAATGGCAGTTTTGTTTGTGTTTATATTAGAAGTAATTTAATATATTATTCTTAAAACAAAATAAAACAAAACTCCATGCATTAAACTCTCGTAAAATTCGATTTGGTGTAACGAATTTCTTGTCACAGTTTAATTACCTTAATTATATATCTCAAGTCAATTTACCAGAAATTTCAATTAGTTTCAAGATGTTGCTTCTCATAAGTATCCACCTAGTTCTAGCGGTCCTTTCAGGAGCTGAAGGCTCCGAGAAACCCAAGGAGTTTTTAATCTCGGAAACAGCAAAAGAGGATCTCATGAAACTGGATAAAGATCTGATCACTAATTTAATGGAATATTCAGACAAACTAAAAGAGAAAATTACACAACTACAGAGGTTAGCTAGCACAAATATATAGTTTTTAATCTTTAAGAGAATTAACAAGAATTAACAACTTAATGCATTTTTAATGGATTTAATGAATAGAGCCAATATTTTTCTATTAAAGTCTTGCTCGGGAAATCAGACAACCCCTGGACGCTGCCAAAGGTGTGGAAGAGGAGTATATGTCCAATCCTTTGCACAGCTTTCCCCTCATTCGGCACATGTATCACGACTGGCATTATCTGGAGGAGTTTATGAAAAAACCAGTAGGACAAGGTAAAATTAAAAAAAAATTAAATTAAGTAACTAATGTGCAAGGTGCTTACCAATTGCAGCTGAGATCGATTTCCTCAAAGAGAAATTACCAGAATTGCCTACATCGGAGGATAGCAAAGATGCCTCTACAGCCATGTTTCGCATAGCCAGGACCTACAATGCAACTCCCTGGGAAATAGCTCACGGTCTCATCGATGGCGTCGACCTAGGGTTGTGCTCTAAAAATAAGTAGTCTGTGTATGTAATCATAATAATCATGATAATTATTTTGCAGAGACGCAACGACCCCTCTAACCCCTCTGGATTTCTTTGAGATTGGTAAACTTTGCTTCCAGTGGGAACAAACCGAGGAGGCCTTAAAATGGTTTTCGAGCATCCCACTCTTTGAGGATTTTGCGGATGCCCAGGAAGTCTTGGGATACCGTGTGAATGACGCTGTATTGATGACGGCTCGCTGTCTGGTAGAAATGGGTGTGTTTCTTCATTATATATGAAAAAGTTATACTTTACACCTTCCTTTCCTTAGGCCTGCCAAATGAAGCTGAAAATGTTTTGAGGCAGCAGCCCGATATTGCAAACAACACGGCTACTCTAATAGCCCTTTACCAGAACCAGTCCTACTATCCACGTGAACAGGGGCCGTACGTGCCGGAAGAGTACTCAAAGTTGTGCCGATCCTCGCATGTTTCGAGTCCCTCTAGACTCCACTGTCGCTACAACAGCACCACCTCGCCCTTTTTGATCCTGGCTCCCCTTAAGATGGAGGAGCTCTCACTAGACCCCTACATTGTAGTCTATCACGACGTTCTGTCGGAGAAGAAAGCCAAGAAGATAATTCGCTTAGGGGACCCTCGTGTAGAGGCCACATATGTCCTTGATAGTAAATTGGGTAAGGTGAAGTCCAGCGAACGCACAGCCTTGGGTACCTGGATTTCTCGTCGTTCAATGGGTTGGCACCATTGGCCATTATTGAGATACATATCTCAACAGATTCGGGATATATCCGGACTTAAAGTCGAGGATCTGTTTGCGGTGCAGCTGGTTAAGTACGGATCCGGGGCTCATTATGCCCCACATTTTGATTATTTCAACACATCAAACAAATCCATCAAGAAAAACGGCGATCGGATCGCCACACTTCTCTTTTATGTGAGTTTAAATATTATTTTTATTGTAATTTTCTGTTTTTTTTTTTATTAATTGATTATTAAATTTGCTTTTCTCAGCTTAATGATGCCCCACATGGCGGTGCTACTATTTTTCCCGATTTAAAACTCAACGTGAATGCCGAGCGAGGAAAGGTCCTTTTCTGGTATAACCTGAAGGGAGAAACGCACGATTTCGAAGAGAAAACCTTGCATGGTGCCTGTCCCGTCTTCAAAGGCTTCAAATATGGTGAGTAATGGGAGAAGACTTTAATTTTTGGCTAATACCCTCCTTACCTACAGTAATGACCGCTTGGATAGACGAGTGGGATCAGATGTTCATCCAACCCACCATCCGCCAAGGAAGCCGACATCATTTTAACTGAAACTTTATAGTTTTTAGCTCCTTACGTTTTAATATTTTCTGAAATATAAATATTTGTCTGCTGCTTCCAACAACAAAAGAGTGTGAATATATTTTCATTTATACTCGTCTGGCTAATTTATTTTTCCCTACAGCAAATCGAATCAGTTTTCTGCTTTTAATCTTGTTAAGTAAGCTTCTCAATACAATTTACAATCTTATTTACTCAGTCTCAAAATGCTCTTACTTGCAAAGATACACATTCTTTTGCTGCTCCTTTGGGTTGCTGAAGCTCAACATGTGGACAATTCGCCAAAGGAGCTCTTAATTTCTCATGAAGCTAAGACGGATCTTATGAAATTGGATAAAGTTCTGATTGAGAATCTTCAGGAATATCTAAACAAACTGGAAGAGAAAATCACAAAGTTACGAAAGTATTTATTAAACTTGATATTATATTTTATTCCCATAATATTCAGATATTTCTTTTAAAGAATAGTAGATGAAATTAGGCAGCCCCTGGAGACAGCCAAGGGTGTGGAAGAGGAGTATCTGTCCAATCCTTTAAACAGCTTTCCCCTCATCAGGCACATGCATCAGGATTGGAAATACCTGAAGGACTTTATGCAAAAGCCAGTGGGAGAAGGTAAGTGGCTTGGAAATTAAATCAAAAAAAAAATTAATAGCTCTAGCGGCTTTCCAATTGCAGAACAAATCAATTTCCTCAAAGAGACATTACCAGAATTGCCCATGAAATCAGATGGCGATGAAGCCACTCAGGCCATGTTCCGAATGGCCAGGACCTACAATGCCACGCCCTGGGATATGGCTCACGGTTTCATTGATGGCATACAGTACAGGTAAGCCTTTTAAAAGGAAATCCTGCTATGTAACATTATTAAGATCATTATTTTTTAGAAACTCCCTAACTGCTTTGGATTGCTTTGAGATTGGAAAACTTTACCTCAAGTGGGGTTTCATTAACGAAGCCTCTCAGTGGTTATACATCACTTCGATGTTTAATTTGGACTCAAATTTATTTCAGACATTGGGCTTGGATCCAAAGGACTTGGCCTTGATGCTGGCACGCAGTCTGGCGGTGTTGGGTAAGATTTTCCCCTGATCTTATATCAATTCTCTAGATAATGATATTCACAGGACAAGATAATGAAGCTCTCAAAGTCCTAGAGAAACATCCCGATCTAGCCGAGAATCAGACTTCACTCCTGGCCTTATTCAAGGCTTATTCCAGTGATCCCCCAAAAGGCATACCCCATCTGCCGGAGGAATACTCAAAGTTGTGCCAATCCTCGCATGTTTCGAGTCCCTCGAGACTCCACTGTCGCTACAACCACACCACCTCGCCGTTTCTGATCCTGGCTCCCCTCAAAATGGAGGAGATATCGCTGGATCCTTATATCACAGTTTATCATGACGTTATCTCAGTGAAAAAAACCGAGGAGATAATACGCTTCGCAGAACCGAGATTGAATCCCACGTATATTTTCAGTCCAGAGGAAGGCCAAGTTAAGCATCCTGCGCGCACCGCATTGGGGACATGGGTACACGAAGAAGACATGAACTCGACAGATTTGCCTTTCCATAATTTGTATGATAAGATCCGAGACATCACCGGATTAAATGTTGACGACAGCGATGAGATCCAGCTACTCAAGTACGGATTCGGGGCTCACTACTGTCCACATCACGACTACTTCAACGGGTCTGCTCCGGATATCGAAAGTCATGGAGATCGAATTGCCACTGCACTCTTTTATGTGAGTTTTGGCTAGGAAATCTTTTAATATCTTTCCTAATTTGCTAATTTATTTTGTGATGTAAAAACCTTAGCTAAATGATGCACCACACGGCGGCGCCACCGCTTTTACCGACTTAAATATAAAAGTGCCGGCGGAGCGGGGAAAGGTTCTGTTCTGGTATAATCTGAGAGGCGAAACTCACGATTTCGACTTTCCCACCACCCATGCTGCTTGTCCAGTCTTTCAAGGCTTTAAATTTGGTGGGTAAATGGAGAATTTGTTTAAAATTGGGCTTACATTTTCCTTGTCTTGCAGTCATGACTGTTTGGATACGAGAGTTGAATCAGATGTTTATCCAACCTGCCTACCGCGAGGGAAGCCGTACATATTTCTTTTAATTATATTAATAATTTCCCTAATAATCATCAAAACCCAGTAAATGTAATTATTTCTGAAGCTTACTCATCTTTATTTATTGGATTTTCCTCCATCTCTTGATAGTTTTCCGGCTTTCCGTACCTTGAACTTCGATTGGCAGTGCGATTCAGTTTCTTGCCTGGCAGTGGTCCGCAGCTCATTGCACCATTAAGTGGGCAATTAAATTCAATTAGCCCCAGTACTCCACCTCGCAGCTTCCCGGTGGTTCTTGCTGCCATTTATCACGCCTGGCTGGAGACCTCAGCCCCATTCCTACGAGACTTCTCTGCAAGTTTTGCACTTCGATTTCGATTGGCGCTGCTAATAATTTGCCAGATTTATTGTTTGTGCCGGCTTCCTGTTTGTGTTCAGCACTAGGAGGAAAGTTTTTCAATTCCATGGCTCCTGGAGCGACTTTTCCGACTTGGCTTTCAATTAAGATTGATGGCGGCGTGCATTCTTTAGGAAAAGTCTTCGTTTGCGAAGTGCAATGCATTTGTCTTGATTTCACCTTCTCGGATTGAGTTCTTTCATCTGCCAGACAACATATGTACCTTCTTCTTTAGCTCCTGTGCCAGCCGAAAGGTAGTGGCGGCAATTTATCAAAATTTGCACACACACACCCACCCTGCGGATGAGTGATGGGCCAGGAGCGGCAGCAGCAGGAAGAAGGCAACAATTGGCATGCGTTTGCTCCTCTGCCTGATTGCATTTATCTGTGCGTTTTGTGATGGTACTTTGTTAACAAACGCAGAAAGAAAATTTAAAGCTTTTCAGTCTTAAAAATAATTAAAAATTAAAGTGTGAAAAATAAGAAAAGAACTGGTATTCTTTAATAAAAGTCCTAGAATTTATTTGGCTTGTAATCGGTTTTGCTTTGCCTTTTAAAAATATTCTTTCTTATTTATAGAACTTATATTGAATTTTTTCTTTAATTTAAGTAGTTAAATAACTTTTAAAAATTACACCTTTACTCATCTTTCCATCGCTAATTTCTAGGCTGTGATTCCCATCTCTTCGCTGCTCTCTGTGCTTGACTTAAATTGCTTTTTTCAATGCCAACGGCTGCCTGCGGTACTTGTAGTCACTCCTGCTCGTCCTGGTCCTCCATCTGCAGCCACAACCTCCTCCTGCACAGGCTGTCACATGCGGAGCCAAATGTCATTTCAGCAAAATCCCTCAAGTCGTTCGTCTGGCCTTGTCTGCTCTCGAGTATCTATGTGCGTTCGCATCTGTATCTTACGTGTGTGTTTCTATGAGTGTGTGTTTGTGCGTAGAGGAAAAACATTGTGCAAAATATGTTGGCAACATTTTTCTGCGGCTGCTTAAATTGCATTGGGAAATCGGTTGGGGATCGCTGAATAAAAGACAATGAGCTTGTGTCGTTGGCGGTGGTGAAAGGTGCATTCGTTACTTCCGGGGAGTTTCTGCATATGATTTTGGCCCATATTGAGTTTAAGTATTTAATGCTTAAAGCGGTCTGAATATCCTGATTTTTCGTTAATTTTTTATACCCTTGTAGGGTATTATAATTTTAGTCAGAAGCTTGCAAAGCAGTAAAGGAATCATTTCCGACCCTATAAATCATATATATTCTTGATCAGCATTAACCGACGAGTCTTTCTAGCCATTTCAGAAAGAAAAAAAAATTTAATAAATTTTTTTTTAAATTTAATAAGGGGTTACATCATTAAAATTGCCAAAATTTAACAAAAATTTTGATCTCTTAAAATTTAAAATTCTGTATACAGGTTTGTTTACCTAGTAAAAACTAGCACAGAAAAGCTTTCCGAATTGAATTTGATACTTTTTTAACTTAGTTATAATAATTTTAAATTTAATTTTCCTAAAAAAATTATCATATAAAATGATGGATAAATATTTGAATTTTAATTCTCCTTTGAGGGTGTTATAATTTTAGCAAGAAACATTTTTTGGCTAAATTATTATAATTTTAATTTAAAAATTTTTAAGTAAATGGATTATTTATAAATCTTCTATAGCAAATATTCCTTAAATCAACCAGGAATCTTGCAACTTTAGAAAGCTTCTTCTCTAAATTATTTAAAATTTGTTTACGCCCTCTGACTTTAGACTCATAAATATTCATATATCTAATGCTTGAAGTATTTTAAAATCCTTTTTAAAGAGTTAAAAATAAACATTTGCACACATGTTTAATTTACAATTCATTTTGATTCGATTAAGTCATTCAAAATAACTTTTTTCTCATAAGCAAAGCATTTGCAATCTCTGAGATAGATCTACATCCCATAATCTCTGGCAGCAATCGCTTTAAAGGACTTTCCTTTCATCCGCCTTCCGCTTGTTGCTCCTGTTCTAATAAAATTAAAATGCCAACCATTTGCACTCGTCGTCTCTGTCGAAATGCGATATGCCCAGCTCCAATCTCTCGCCGGAACTCTGAAACTCCGGAACTCCGTCTCCTTTGACTGTTAAAAAATTAGCAACAATTTTTCAGCATCGCATCAAAACGCTACGCGACTGTCAACCGCATCCAGGGATAAATCCACCCCGGCAAGCCACCGCCACTTGGCAGGCACTTATCAAGGAGCTGACTTACTTTGGGCTACACCTTGTTACACTCCCCGCTCTCAGGACGCACTTTGTCATCTGGTTCCATCTCTCCATCTGGGGGGGTAATTTGATATGCTGTGGCTTACATTTTTTATCCGCCATTACCACAAAACGATTTACTTCCGCGTAGCAATTTGCTTTAAATTTTTATTTAAACAACAATTTGCTCGAGCGCAGATTGAGATTTCCGCTGAAAGATTTGCCAGGCGGAGGAGGAGGATGGGTGAGAAAAGGGGGTGAATTGGGGGAGGAACACAAAGAAGAATAAGGAGGTAAAATACTTTCCAGACTTTCAACGCATTGATGCACCTTCGTTCGTTGTGGCCTTCGTTTCAAGGCTCCTTGGGCTGCAGTCGACACTCGGCAAATTAATTTGCTCAAGACTGTGGGCGTGGTCCTGTCCTTGCTTCTTGATGAGTGTCCTTCGTGCTGGCTAAGATTCTTCAGCTCTTTACTTGTACCCTTTTTAAAGGGAATTTTTTATGACATAATGAAGATTTTTTCTGTTTTAAATAATTTTTATGGAATTTTTAAGACCAAAACTAACTAAAGTTGCCAAGTGTTTAATAAATCTGAGTGATGTTAATTCCATTTATAATTAAATTTAACTTAAAATTCCATATTTAGGTAGAGTATTTACTTGTGTGATATTTTAAACTTTCCCTTTTTGCGTTTCCAAAATCTAAAATTGGTTTCGTGTTCTTTTGTGGTTTTTGCTTCTCCTTTCTATTTTTTGTTTCTAGAGTTCTGTCCAAAAAATATATGTCATTCTCAAGGTAAAAGGACACCCATTCAAGTGCAAACAAAAAGAATATAAAACCCTCCTGCTTTTCTTAGGTTTTTCCCCGTTTTCTGCGGTTTTTAATTTGATTTTCTTGCACCTTGGCTAATTGGCAATTGGATGCGCTGCTGATGTGGCTGACAGTTTCCACTTGAGCATTTTCACCGCCCCGAATTAAAGCGCTTTAAATTATATCCACCAGGATATATAGAAAGCGGACTGGGGGCAGGTCCTGGCTCCTGGCGTTAATGGCTCTTTTATGGCCGCCACTGTGCGGTCCCCGTTGCTGCGGCAGCTGCAAATATTTCGCCAGTGCACAGGGGCATCCCAGCATAAAGGGGACGTGGCCGGGTGATGGTGGAAATCTAATCTATGCAAGCCCCGCATACTATATATCCCTCCGATACCGCACTCCCCCCTCGGACCCACGGATGAGACAACTATTTTTTTGCGCCTGATTTTCCACTTTTTTTGCTGCTGCTGTTGTTGGAAAGCTTAACAGTTAATTGCCCCTTGAAGAATACCGCTCCGGAGTTTCAGGACACCAAACCAGTTCCAGAGTGGACTACGCAGTGGCTACCTAGGTGGACACAAAGGCAGGGCCGGACAATGAAGCTGTGGTCCCGGCTGTGTCCTTGTTGTGTCCTGTTACTCATTTTGAAAGGTAATAAAGGGTATGCTAGGTAAGGTATTAACTTGCAGGATGTTTTATTTAGAAATATATAATTTTCAGGACAGGATTGAACTTACTTTAATTTATTAAATTATTATATAAATAATATTTAATCTGAACATATTTTAAAGGATATTTTCTATTCCTTATTTCAGTTACCCAACATTCTGACTTGCTGTCTGTCTCGGTCCCCGTGCGTGTGTTTTAATCGGTTTGACTTTGCCTGACCTGCGTGGGGTTAAATGAAGTGGGTTTTGGGAGGGAGATGCATGGAGCAATCTGGTGGAGCGGAGCTGGGGCAGGACAACAAGGACAAACAACGTTGCCAGTGTTGCTGGCCCCGCAGCAGCAGATTGAATCCTAATCGAGGTTTTGACTTTGGTTACGTTGCGTAAACACGCAACAACCGGCGGATGAAACACACTCGCACCCCTGGAGCATCGTTCTCCTTTACTTAAAACAGTGCATCCTGGTTGGAGGTCCTGCTGCTGAGAGTGTTTTTATGGCTTCCTCTTTTAGGTAGGCTCCACTGTACCTTATTGCAGTGCAGTTTATTGTAGCACACTTGCAGGCAGCTGTTGTTTGCTTGTCCTTGGGGGCAATTCGGAGCATTGGTGTGGGGCAGGTGAAGGTGATTAGGGATGATTTGAGGAGGAATGGAGGTTACTTTAACCCTTTGGTTAAAGGTGGAATATAATAGGGTATGAAAGTGGGTTAAAGGGATAAATACGACATAGTAAGAGTGGAATATACAAAAGACGTTAATAAAATATCTCGAAGTAAGACTTGTAGCCAATTACTTTCTAAAGAATTTAAGTATTTTTTACAAAATATATATTTCTTTAAACGTATTAACTTATTTATTCCATTTTTAATCCTTAAAAAATATATATCACTTCTTAATATCCTTTAAATAATTATTAAAATAAATTTAACGTAGGGTTAATACCTTTAGGTAGGTTACCCCCTGAGGCAG